CAAGTGACCAAATGTTACATTTAATTGCAGATTCAAACAACAATGTATTTTCCCTGATTATCTATGATTTCCTTCCATCTATTAACAAGTTTTAACCTCTTCCTGTGTTACAAAAGCTGTTTCTTCCAAATGATTCTATAAGCTACGAAACAAATGGTAGTCTGAAGGAGCAAGGTGGATGAGGAATTTTCTCCCAACCAAGTTCTTCGATCTTTTGTGGCGTGATTCTTGCTGTGTAGGGTCGCGCATTGTCCTGATGAAACATCACCTCTTTTCATTAGTGCAGGTCTTTTTTTTCCTCAAAGCTTGGTTCAAACGCTCTATTTGCTGACAGTATATTTGAGCATTAATTGTTGCATTAGGTGGTAAGAATTCAAAGTAAATTATTCCTTGGTGATCCCACCATATTGAAGGAAGAACCTTTTGCCCATGAAGTTCCCTTCTCGGTTGTGGCTGGGGTCCTTCCCCTTTACCAAGCCACTGTCTACGACGCTTAACATTTCGATAAAAGATCCATTTTTCGTCGCCAGTCACAAATCTATCCAAAAAAGGTGAAACAAGTTGGTGAGAATGGAGAGAAGAGCAGATGTCAACTTGAGATTTGAGGTTGTTTTCAAACAATTTATGGGGCACCCATTTTCCAAGTTGTTGAAGATGACGATGAATAGTTGTATGGTTTGATCTGAGAACCACTGCCAATTCCTCAACTGATAAAGCAGGATTTTCTTCAAGGGCTGTTTCAAGAAGCTTTTCATCAAACTCAACTGGACGTCCGGTTCGATCTTCATCTTCAAGGGTGAAATCTCCACCTCTGAATTTTGCAAACCATCTTCTGCAAGTTCTTTCATTCACACATTCCTCTCCATAAACTGAGTGAATGTTTCTCGCCGCTTCGGCTTCTGAGTTTTCTTTCTTGAACTCATAAAGCATTATGTGCCTCAAATGATTCTTGGGTACTTCCATGTTAGCAGGGTTTTAATCAAACAAAATTTAATTTTATTGTTCTCTGAAATAAAATTTGATCAGTTTAAATGCATCTAAACATAAAAATAATGTTCAGCTCCATTAGACATTATAAAATACTATTTAAATTTCGTTCATTTTAACAAAAAGTTAAAATTCGGACAGAACTTATGGGATGACCTGATACAAGGGTAGCTCTCCTTGTCCTTTTCTTCTTGGCTTTTGCTTCACTCATTCCCCAATTAGCCACCTCAGCTAACTTCAGATCATTGGCACGAGCTCTCTTTGTTCGACTTGCCATCTGATCCCAAATTACATAGGACACTGGACCCGTCTGCTCTATTACTCTATAATATGGTTCCCATCTTTGGTCTAGTTTTCCTTCTCTTAGGTGAATTTTGTAGTACACAGGGTCCCCAACTCTAAATTCTATTACCTTCCTACTTGCATTCACCCTCTCATTCCTCCTCTTTTGGGCTCTTTTTATTCGCCTTCTGGCGCCTGTACAAACAATCTATGCTGTTGTTCTATTATCAACAGATGGTCGTCTCTCATATATTTCCTACGGGGTTTCAATAAATTATCTATCGGCAAGACTACATCTCTGCCAAACAATATATAATACGGTGAGAATTTAGATGCCTCATTGATTGTAAACCTCACTGCCGCGAGAGCCTGTGTCAGGTAGAGGTCCCAATTCTCAACATTGTCTCTCGCTAATTTAACTAATACGTCTCCCAAGGTCCTATGAAATTTCTCCACCTTAGTATTACTCTGAGGGTGGTAAGGAGACGTCGTTATATTCAAGCTTGTTATCACTTCATTATATTATTCACATTCTCAGTCGCATTATCTGTCACCAAGCACACAGGAGCACCATACCTGGGAATAATTTCATTCATGATTAAGTCTGCTACAATTTTAGCTTTCTTATCAGGTATTGCGAATGCTTCCGGCCAATTCGTCAACCAGTCTACAAAACTCACTATGTAAACGTTACCTCTGGAGGTTTTCTCATACGGTCCTGACACGTCCATGCTTATCTTTCTAAAGGGAAAATTCGGAATATCCATCTCTCCCAATGGTGTCAATTGCTGTCTTCTACTCTGCATTTGGCACACCATACAGCCATTAACATAATCAGTAACCTCATTATACAACCTAGGCCAGTAATAAATTCTTCCTATTAATTCATGGATTTTATCAATTACCATATGGCCTAGCTTCTCATGACAGTGTTCTAATATCTTCTAATAGATTCTTGGGTATATATAATCTGGATCTAATTTCTTCATCTCTCCCTGAAAGATAATACAGCTTCCCTTTATGTATCGTATACTTGGAGGTTGCTCCCTTTCAAACTGTTCTATCCACTGGGGGTCAGTTATTACTTGTATATTTTCCTCCTCATCTGTCTCCTTCAACCTGTGGGAGTTGATTACCCCTATTTGATAAGCTCTGTCGTCTACCCCCGGCTCTACTCTCACAGATTCTTGAGAGTAAATCTTTCCCTGACAGGTATTCTATCTTACAGTTGTATCCACTTTATTTCAGCGCCCACTGCTATATCTTCTTGTTTGCTCAATCTGTTTCGAGCAAATACTGGAGAGGTTTATGGCCAGCCCCACTTTAATAATAATCCAGCTTCTGGAGGGCATACATAGTAGCGTACGCCTCTCTTTTTATCACTGGCCATCTCTGCTGTGTCTCTGACAGCTTATGGGATAGAAAGTATATCGGTACTTCCTTTGGTATACCAGGCACTGGACCATCCTTATCAGGACATGGCTGAATAAGGACTGCTCTTATACTTCGCTCACTAGCGTCCGTGTATTGTATTATTGGTTTGATGAGATCTGGGTATGTCAGCAAAGGGAACAGCAGTTTGTTGTTCCTTCAAGCTATCGAAGGCCTTTTGACAGTCTTCTGTCCAATTTAAATCTCGCGTACTTTTTCGCTAAGCCTATTAAGGGAGTTGCTATCCTAGAAAATGCTCGGATAAAACGTCTGTAATATCCTAAGGCCCTATAAAGCCTCTGTCTTTGGTTCAGGCATTTCTCGTATCACCTTTACTTTATCCATGTCAGGCTTAATTCCTTCATCACTCATTATAAAGCCGAGGTACTTCATTTTCATTTCTTAAAAATTGGCACTTGGGTAGATTCAACTTCAATCCGTGCCTCCTCAATCGTCCAAAAAACTGTCTTAAGTTGTTAAAATGTTGTTCTGGTGTCTCTGAGAATAGCAGAATATCGTCCAGGTAAGCTATAGCAAAGCACTCAATTCCTTCCAGCACTATTGAGATCAATTGCTGAAAAATCCCAGGTGCATTGGCCAGGCCAAATGGCATGACCTTGAATTGGAACAGGTCCATGTGACATGCAAATGCAGCCTTTTCTCTATCAGCATCATCAAGGGCTACCTGCCAATAACCCGACCTCAGATCTATCGTGGAAAAGCACTTAGCTTTTCCCAACAAAGCCAATATATCAATGGCAAAGGCACTGCTAATGGTTTGGAAACGGCATTCAATTTCCTGAAATCTACACAAAATCTGTGCCCGCCATCTTTTTTTATCTACCAGTACTATGGGGAAGATCCAAGGAGACTTTAACCTTTCTATCATGCCTGTCTCCAACATATCCTTTACTGCTTCCTCGACTAAGGGTCTTTTATGAATAGGTGTTCTGTAAGGCCTTAGCTTAATTGGAGAGTGATCACCTGTGTCAATTCTCATTTTTATGGTGTGAGTTTAGCCCAGCCTTTTATCTTACTTAGCCACCACATCACGGTTGGCCCTCAACAGTCTCCCCACCTTGCCCTAAACCTCTCAGGAGCCATTATTTCTTCGTCTGTTATACCGTCTATCCGCTTTAAATTCTCTTTTTTGCTTTTTATCTAACCTTATTCGATGCATGGTCCTCAAGGGCAAGGCTCTTCCTACCTCCTCCCCTTTCTTGACTTTAACTGTCCTGCTGGCTTCATTCACCAGCATCATGGGCACTATTTCTGCCGCATTCACTGCTCTTTCGCACATAACTACTTCGTTTTCTTCAGGTTTACCCGCTTCTACAGGAACTAATTGAATGATCCCTCTCTTCATTTTTTTCTCCGTCATCAAATATTTACAGTTCTTTTCTTTTCTTCATTTCCCAACCCGTTTCTAATATTTGGCGACGGAACGAAAATCTCTAGAAGTTAGCCGAAATTTTCCGAAGGGTAGCCAGACTTGACAACTGGATCTATCTTTAAGTACGGTTGTTTGTACTTTCCAGAACGGCAAAAGTTTATCGTCGGAGTTTTTCTTCAACAACAGATAATTATTATTATTATCATTAGGTTGGCAAAACAGCGTAATGGCAGAAATCACTTAAATCCCCATCCGCAACTTCAACTCCAACTACTCCAACTGTTTCCAACTTTAGCCCCCGTATTTATGGTTGTCCCTTCCAACTGGTGTGATGCAGGCAAATAGGTGGGTTTTATGCAAATCTCCTAAAATTCAACCAGTCTCCTTCTTTCGTTTTCTGTTTCACACTTCCAATTTTGGAAGATCTTCTCTTTCGGGAGGAGCCGTTATATGACGTCAGCCTCCCTGACGTATTCTTCAACGAAATTCATACATCTGTTCCCAATGTCATGGGAAAATAAGTCTCTTTCTGATAAAAATATAAAATAAAATCGTTTTCTTTAACCCTTTTCGTCCGTACGCCATGTTAAATGTTGTTACATTGCGCCTCTTTCTATTTTTGCGTACTTCCTCAATTAATTTTCTATCCGTATGCAAGTGGTTTGCTCCCAGTAAATATTCTGTATTATTTTTATATCTTTCCCCAAATAAATCCAATTTTCCTAGCAGTTCAACTGTGTTTTATTTTATCAAATACTTTTGTGTAGACCATTCACTTACACTTCATCTTACCTGTAAGAAAATTTTGTGGCTCTAATTAATAAAAATAACTGTAGGTATTTGTTAATCAACAAATTCATTATAAAACTCCATATCATTTAAATGCACTATTTTTATCTCTGCACAGGCCGGAAATTGGGGCTCACGTGGACTCATCTTGCAGTTACAGCAAATCGTGGCGACAATTTTATCTTATTAAAACAAGCTGTACCGGACTGGAAAGTTGGTGATCAGATTGTTATCGCGTCAACTAGTGGACGACATAGTCAAAAAGAAAATGAGATGCATACAATCGCCGCTATTTCCCCGGACTATCGAAACCTTACACTGACTGAGAAACTTGCATATCAACATGTCTCCGTGGAAGAAGTTGTGGATGGACATAAATTGGAATTTTATGCTGAAGTTGGATTGTTGAGTCGAAATGTGATTGTACGTGGTTCCGTACAAAAACAATGGTCTGATAAAATTGAAGCGTGTCCTGACGGATTTAATACTGGTAAACTGTATTCTGTTTCAACATTTCTGTTTTGTTTTGCTTATTCCATGTCTTTTAGCTTGTTTTGACAAGTCCCAAAATATTAAAACTCTTTTTACGTTCCAGTACGTTTGTTAACCTGAACTTAGTAGTAATACAGTTTTGAATATTTCTTGTTCTGGCTAAGAATTCCATTTTTATGCACCACGCTTTCTTTAATAACACTTCAGTCACTTGGCCGGTTTTTAATTAAATTTACTGTTTAAAACAACGGGTATGTTTACACCAATACGTGTGCCCACTAAATAAGTTTTAGTAACATATATATATATATATATATATATATATATATATATATATATATATATATATAGTTATGACACTCCCCTTCCTCTTACCGAGTCGATAGCGGAGATAGAGGAGGATCGTAATCTATATTATTATTTTAACGTGTATACAATTATTATATTAAATTTCTTTCCGATTGATCAGACACAGTCGAGCTGACTGGAATCGCTTAAGGAACACACATAGCAGGTGATAAACAACAGAAACACAGGTGCAGAATTAACAATTGAATAAATTTATTGCTGTAACATATAACGGGAAAACAATATGAAAGATATGGCGAAAACAAAAACAATGGGTCAAAAAGAAATGTTGTGGGACATAATAACGGGAGGGGGATTATCTTCTCAGAAAGGTAACTAGACGATTAATAGATCTTAAGTCAGGCCTGCCTGCAAATACACATGACAAAATACATTGAGCAAAATATAAACATGTAAGAGAAACAATAACTTATCTGATTGTTATCAAATTTCTTTTTCTTTCTATCTTCTTTTAGCTTAATGTCTCTTATGTATATTTCTTTTCTTTTCTCTTTTTTGTTTTATATTTTCTTTTAGATTTCTTTCTCTTTCCGTTTCTTTTGATATCTTTCTTTCTTTTTCGCTTCTGGTCTCGTGGCTTGAGTAAAAAATCAATTGAACCTGTCGTTTCGTAGCACTCGGGATAACGTGTATCTTTATTCTGATTTCGATACAACTTCTTTTCTCTCGTACCAAAGTTTACTTCTTTTGGGGGTTAAACTTTGTTAAAGCTGTTTGAGCTTCGAAATCATCTTAGATTTCTATTCCTTTTGCATAGCTAAACAATCTATTCTGTGTAACTACCGAAGGAAGGTTATTTCGCATATGCGAATTCATAACTGATTATCGCGAACCCACCCACTCGGTTTGGCTACCGAAGCCGGACTAACTTTGCGCCGTTCGTTTTTCGCGCCTTAGTTTCATCACGTGGTCCTTGATTTCCAAATATAGACCTTTTTCCTGTGTGGGCGAAAAGAGGTCACTTTCTCTCTTCTGCTGAATTTCAGAGAGTTCAAGGTCGTTTCACTGTCTGGATTTCATCCGGTGATTTATCACGTCGCCAACACGTGATGAAAGGAGAAAGGAAAATGTATAGTCTTTGCTCAAATGCATACAAGTTTGGTTAAAATTCGTTAATATTCGATTTTACTTTATTCCTCATTTTTTTCTACCGCTACACTTTCTGACTTTTTATTTAAAATGCTTCTAATAAGCATGGATACAGATTGTAGAAGGAACTTAGATGAGGGTACGTAACAAATATATATATATATATATATATATATATATATATATATATATATATATATATATATATAATGTGTGTGTGTTGCATTTTCTCATTTTATTTTTGTATTTTAGGTGAATTTGCAACCCAAAAATTGTTTCCAAGGAAGTTTCGGTGAAGAAATGGGAAGTGATCAATTCGGAGCTCAAATCATGGTCCACGCGCCAGTAAAAGATAAAAACTTGGCAATTGCTCGTCTTGCATATTTAGAGGTGACTCACGCTGGCCAAGCATTTCGTCTGGGCAGATACCCCGTGCATTTTCACTTAAATGGTGATATGTCACGGTCTTATGTCAGAGGCTGTGCTATCCACCACACATTCAATCGAGCCATCAATATCCACGGCTCCCATAGAACCTTGGTTGAGCACAACGTCGTATACAACATCATGGGAGGTGCCATCTTCCTTGAGGATGGCATTGAAACGGAAAATGTTTTTCAGTACAATCTTGCAGTGTTTGTGAAACCAAGTACAAGTTTGAGAAACGATGATGTTACTCCCGCTTCTTTCTGGGTAAAACATTTCTATTTTCTATCTTTCTTTCTTTTCTTTTTTTTACTCTATATCATTATCATTATGCGCATTAAATTTCTTAGAATAAAATTACAATTTGCCGTGTTTTTTACTCCCAATAAATTCTTAATACTTCAAGAAAAATATAATGCTTAACATGTAAACTTTTACAATTTCACTGCTATTTATTTAAATGCGAATTTAAATCATAATTCATTGTAGTTTTATTCAATTAAATTTTTACTTTAAGGTAATGAGATGACTGGTAATTTGTAATTGGAAATAATTGGAAAATGTGAAAAGTCTGTTTGGTCGAGTCGAAAAAACCGTCCTATATTTCTGTCTTTTGTAGTTCTGTAATATTTCCATCTCGGGATTTCTAAAAAATACTACTAATAATTCATTTTTGGCTTAGACAATGCATTATATGACCATAATAATGTATAAAACAAGTTCAAAGTTACTGAGAAATCAATACGGTCATTGCCAACAATAAGCATAGTCGCGCGCCTCTTAATTTGTTTGCCATTAACTTGTACATTACAAAATAGATTAAAATTTTCTTTATCTATATTTTGAATCTGATAATCATGAAAAATTTCTTCGCCTATACATGATTTTAAAGGTAACCAACCCTAATAATATCATCAGACACAACGCCGCGGCGGGTGGAAGCCATTTTGGCTTCTGGTTTCGAATGCTCCAACATCCGGAAGGACCTTCATCTACATTCAGCATTTGTCCGCGTAATGTTCCATTAGGGATCTTTCAAAACAACTCTGCTCATTCATTTGGATGGTTTGGCTTATGGATATTTCCATCTTTCACTCCTCGAGAAAATGGCAGGTGTAATTATTGGAAGGACAAGCGAGTTGTCTTTGAGTAAATATATTTTTCATTCATTTGATTTTCTTTACTTTTTCTTTCAAAAAGTGTAAAATGTTTTTGTCTTAATTTTAAAAATCTTATTTCTTTTAAATAATTACATTTACGAATTTTCTTCAAGGTATTTTTTCACATTTGAGACAGTTTATTATACAAACCACTTAAAATACATTTTTCTGGCACATAATGTTTTGTAGTTCTGTTAATGACATTGAATGGCAAGATATATGCTAAATTTTGGAAATATGGAGCAATATATTAGGGAAGAAATATTTGATAGGGCAATCAATTTGACAAATAAATGTACCAGTTTGACTGACGAGTAAGTTAGAATCACTAAGCACTGCTGCAATCGGTGTTACACCATAGAGAAACGATATGGATACAAAAACAGTGTTGCTTTGATATGACCATGCTCTAAGTCGTGCAAACTTTTTAACAACGGAGAATATTGGATTATACAGGGTCTATAGACTGATGATTCTAAGGTGCAGTGATAGAAATATTAAAAGTATCAGAAAAACTGTTGTTTAGCTTTTAAATAGAAACTGATTTGATAAATTTGTTGGATATTACATTGAATGATGACAATTGAATTTACCAACCTTTCAGAAAGTCGCGTAAGAACCATGTTTAGTAACAGGGCCACGAATTAACGGTGGTTTGTTGACTTGTGGTTAGGATCTCTCTCTCTCTCTCTCTCTCTCTCTCTCTCTCTCTCTCTCTCTCTCTCTCTCTCTGGTTCTGTTTGTTTTCTCTTTGAAGACTGTCTTCTCTGAAACTAAATTATTGAGAACGGTTTCAAGTATTAGTAAGGGGTGGCGCTGTGCGAGGTGAATTAACTGAGGGGGATTATATGGTATGCAGGTGACACTGTGTTGATAACAGACACAGAAAGCAAGCTACAAGAACTGCAGAAGATAGTGAAGGAAAGTGAGAAGAAAGAATTAAACATCATCTGCAAGAAGACAAAATGTGCGGTTTTTAACAAAAGAGTGAGTTCAAGGTGCGAATTGCAAATCGGAAATATCAAAATGAAACAAATCCGGAAATTTAAATATCTGAGAAGTGGACGGAAAATGTGACATTGAAATCCGAAGGTGTACTGGGATAGCCAAGGAATCATTCCAAAATCTACAAAGGAATGGAAAAATATCACTAGAAACAAGAAAAAAAGTACTAAACTGCTATGTGATATCTGTTCTCCTATATGGCAGTGAGTGTTGGACGATTCCCTCAAAGATGAAGAGGAGACTTGAAGCAACAGAAATGTGGTTCAACAGAAGAACACCGAGGACAGAACATGTGGGCAATGACAATGTTTTGAGAAAACGGAAACAAAAAGGAAACTAATACTTAACTTCAAGAAAGGACAGTTGAGGTTTCTGGGTGTATAATGCAGAAGGAGGGCTTGGAAAATCTGATACTCACGGGACAGATTGAGGGCAAGAGGGACAGAGGAAAATAACATAGCTTGAGTAAGTGGATGACGAAACAGGGTTTGGGAGAAATAACAGGAAGACAAAGTTTAAGAGCTACAAGGTTAGCTACAAGTTGTGGCGAGTCATGAATGTCTAGGGTCCTGAGGGGACACGGCACATAAAGATGAAGAATGGTTGTGAGTGCTCAGGTTGAAATTCTTCACCTGGTTGATATCGACAAAAGGTCTTTCTCAGTGGAATTATTTCTTTCTCCAGAATGCGTAGATTGGATTGACACGGACCAATCTATTTAGCAAGCTTTCTTTCACTCACCCATTATGCATACTTGTTGAAGTTTACATGGTTAACTTGCTTTGTGAAAGTTACCAGTTCTGTGAGCTCACCGTTTGAGGTTTGTATTTAATAGGCATAATGCGAATGGTGATTTAGGTGCCGCGAAAGAAGGAAATTCATGTCGATTTGCATCTTATCGACAACTTTTAAGAATCAGCTAAAGGTTAAGATCAGGCTCAAGAAAGACTTCCACTTCTCGTTAGAATTGAAAATGGTATTGTGTCGTGTGAGAGAAGTTAAATTAGTTGCTACTTTTTTTTTTCTTTTAGTTAACCCACATTTTCGTTTCTCACATGCCCCTTCACCTCTTCACACTGGGAATTCTGACTTATTTTTTCGTTCATTTTTATATTTTTCTTACATTTTCTACCGTTTAACGGGCTTTTCATCATATTAAAATTAGATTATCGGATTGAAATACATACTAACGCATTAATTTTCTTCAAGTAAGGTAAATATTCTTTCATATGAAGCATCGGGAGTGTAAGAGAGTTATAACTCTAGTTAAATCATTATGAACCCTCTAACATTTATATATACAAAAATAAAAAAAGAGAAACGGCAAGAGGTGGAAACAGCAAAACGAATATTATTTATTATTCAGTTGTTATACAGTGTTAGAGATACGAGAGACAGTAATACAGAGCAAAATTGAAAGTTTGGGGTCGAATTTAGATCAAATACGTATCGGAATCCGACAGAAAGATAAGATAAAAAATAAGTGTATACAGTCTTTCTAGTATATTTTTTATAGATGCGTATAATGGGTGTTCAGATAATTTAGTTGAAAAAATACAAGAACTGTTTGGGGTTTTCTTACCTCGAATTTTTGTTGAATACTAAGAGAGTTTTGAAATTTTCGTTGACGCACGTGTTAACGACCAGTCTGTGTGAACTGCTTGTCCAATAGTGAGCATGCCACGTGTTTGTGTAGAGGATAAAAGTGGAGTCGATTCTCATTGGTTTAGAATGAGTGAATTAATGATAATTATAATTCTTATAATTATTTTTGACATTATAATTAATTTTTATTAACTTATTTTTTAAGGACACGACAGGAGAAAAATTTGTTATAAGGAATCAGTTGTTTTTTATTACTCCTTAGTTGAAATCGTTTTGTCAGAATTTTCATAAAGAGAATGTAAGTTTTTGGTGATTGTTGTATGAAAGACTCAGAATAAATGTTATTTTATAAATGAAAAAAGATCGGATCAGTAAATATGACCATCTAAATTAATGACATAAGTGAAAATCGATACTCCATCCCACTGCCTGACCGTGTGCCACAATTTTATTGTTTATTTTTAACAAAATATATACACTTGTTATTTCACATGAAATTTTAGTTTCAAATTAGTTATGGTTTCTATCTCGCTTAACTATTGTTCTATCAATCTATTGAGGGCTGTTGCGTAAAAATTGTCTATAAATAATATTCTTTGAATATTTATTAAATTGTGTATACATTTAATTTAACGAAACAAGCTATTTATGTTGCTTGCTATGTCTGTCATACCGTAATTATTTGGGTATAGTAAGTACATTTTCCTGATTTTTAAGCATCAAATTTAGAGTGTGTATTATATACGAGAACTAAATATTTTTCCAGTTACATGCGTCGTCATTATATTCAGGTCGTTATTACCAAAAGTAAGCTATTGTCTAAACTAACTAATCTGTAACAAAGCGAAAGTTTAAATCACTAACCAAATTCTACATTTGTTTTTAAAATACTCAAATAGATATTAAACACGTTTTAGTCTCTTTCACTGCTGTCCATGTTAAAAATAGACGTCAGGAAAATTTCTTCTACATTGTCAGCACTACAGATCATTTTCTCTGACATCATCTACAGTCATCTTTCTCTTGCATAAAGATGTCATCTTCACTTCATGATGGAGAATTTTTGAATGATTTTTCTATGATAAATGGTAGAATTTGTTTTTAATTTATAAAAATGTATTTTTATTATTTTAAAAATGTTATAGTTGTCTAGGTTTTTTCTTAATACACGTTTTTTGAAAGAAGTGTATATTTATGAAGACCAGACAGTTTGTGCAAAAATTGTTAGATTTTTATGGCTCTTCTGGTTCAAGCGGTTTACCGCCAAAATTATTTGTTGATTTGTCTCGGATTCGTTTTTCGAATTCTTGGAGAATGGTTTCGTATATATTGGGAAATGAGAAACGATCAATTGAAGCTCGTATGAAAACTTGATGTGATCCGGTATGAGGGTCCTTTTTTCAATAAAAAGGACTGCTATGGACGGATAAACAGCAAAGAAAGAAGGAACCGTTGAAAAAACACAACGATAGAGGAGAAAGAAGGCATTAGCGCCCTTGCTTCAAGAGGACTGGTCATAAATCAACACGAGGAAAGAAAAAAAGCTTACAGATTCAAACCCAGGACAGAAAATTCCTTTCTGTGCCTTCCTGAGAATTTAAACTGAAAGTACTTTTCAATTTAACTTTCCAGCAAAATACCTCAAAAGGCCCTCAAGATAATGACCAATGAAATCACGAAAACCCGTTCGTACTGAGACGTCCTATTATTCTGCTAAGAACGGTGATGTGTTTTGTATTTTCTGCCTTGTGCAATTTTGTATTTCCTCTAAGTTTTTAACTTTTTCCATTTTTAAAGAGTTTTGTCTTTGAATCCGTGTTTTTTCTAAAAAAGAATTGTAACACGTATTTTTTTTCCTTTTATTTGATGGTTATCCCCCTTTTTGTAACCTCAGAAAATTGTTATCCTGCCATAATAGGCACACAAGAGGAAATGTTTGTGCAACCTTTGTAGTATACCTTTTTTATTGTAATATTGTAAAGTAAATGTGTTTTTCCTTTTTAAAGTTTTACGCAGTGGTCATCTTGTTTTGCAGTTTCGCTCCTATTATAGTGACGATGTTTCTACTAAGTTTAGTGTCTGGTACAAGAACTTGGATTTGGTAGGAAAATAAAAATTTGTATAAGTTGTCTGTATACCACACGTAGTACTAATAATATTCACTTTCGTTTTATGCTGCTAGAGAGAATTAGCAACTGGAACGTGTTTCTTTATAATTCTATTTCTCTTCGTGTTTACCTTTTATTTTAGTGTCAAGTTGATTGTATTTTGTGTGAAAATGTCACTGTATTTGCTCAAAACACCGCGCAAATTTTGTTTCAAAATATACTATATAAAATTTTATTTTTAGTCGATACGAACCGAATAAAAACTTGATTAAATGGTAAATTTATGTGTTGTGAATTCTAAAACGTTATTCTACGTTATACACAAGAGATTATGGGTACGTATTATGCACTAATAATTACGATAGTTTTATTTCTTTTGCTGATCCTGATTAAATCAAGTCTTCGTGCCTAAAATTTAGGTTTCTTAGAGAGAATATTCAAAATGTTACTAAACCATCCAACACTAGCTTCAAAATTACTGTAATTATATTATATATTTTTTTTTATTTTAGGATCTTATTTATAATCGCAATACTCTGTATTTGCTATTATTTCCTTTTTATTAATCACGTTATCATAAATTTATTTCCTCTTATAAACACTTTTAATAGTCTTTCCATTTATCACAGGAAAATGACTGCATGGAATTGTGAAAAGGGCGCAGAAACTGTCGATTCAGGTCCACTACAGATGGACAATTTTGTATTGGTCAACAATGAATTCGCCGGCTTCGAAGGTAAAGTGATCGTACGGGGTCCCCAATACACACAAGAGAGCATAATGATAAAGAATAGCTTGATTGTTGGGGAAAGTTCTGTTCTTACGAGTAAACCTACTCAAACAGCAGTAGTATTGCCTTTCGGAAATGGCTTGATTATACAGAATGTAACCTTTGTGAATTTCAAGAACCAGAGCACCGCATTTGGTCTTACAAGTGTTGATGGCCACTGTAGGAAGTATTGTGGCGGATTCCTATACCAAACCTCAGGGCTCAAGTTCATAAACACGACAAACAAAGCAATATTCAGATGGGAGGTAAGACAACAGTCATAAAATAATTATAATATTCTTCAAATTCCATTGTAATTTGCTTGTGTATCTGTGTCTGTGTCTGTGGGGGGGGAGCGTGCGTCCATGTGAGTTGATTGGTTGCCTGCTTACTCATATTTCGATAACTTCTGAATCAAATACGTCAGAGGACAGACAGTACTCTTTTCTTCTATTCCAACGAAACTTTCCTGTCTCTTAATTCTCTGCTTAGCTTTTAGAATGCGTCTTTGGCCATCCCAATACGTCTTCGGATCTCAATGTCGGACTTTCCGTCCTCCGTTAGAACACTTCCCAGATATTTAAATTTCTGTGCCTGCTTGATCGTAGTATCCCCGACCTGTAATTTGCGTTTTGGGCTGATCTTTTTGCTGATAACTATGCATTCTGTCTTTTTGTAGTTTATGCTTAGTCCTTTCTTCTCGCTTTCGTTCGCTACCTTCTATTGGAGGTTCTGTAGTTTCGTTTCCGTGTCTGCTATTAGAACTCTGGCATCTGCATATTATTAAGAATGTGGCCAGCAATTATGATTATGATACTGGTAGGATTTTTAGTTCTCTCAGAATTTTCTCACCATATAGGTTGAATAAATCCGGTGAGAAGACACATCCTTATCTTACGCCCCTTTCTACTTTTGTATATCTGCTGAACTCATTTTCTGTCCGTATTCAGGCGGTTTGCTGCCAGTATAATCTTCTCTGAATATGTCAAGATTACTTAGCAGCTTTAAAAGATCTTTGTACCGTACTTTGTAGAATGCCTTTGCGTAGTCTATAAAAAAAAAAACAGGTATACGCCCTTCTAGATTTGTATTGCTCTTTTTGAAAACATTCTAGGCATAAATATCGCGTTCCTTGTTTTGGTGTCTTTGACGATCCCGTACTATTCTTGTCCTATTTCTAGCCTGGTTCTGCTGCGCGCTCTATTCATCAGAATTCTGATTATGAGTTTTGTTATGTAGCTCATTAGGCTGATTGCTCAGTGGAGTTCACATTCGTTTGTGCCTGATTTACTAGGTAGTACTATGAAAATAGATCTGCTAAGGTCCTCCGGTATATCACCATAATTGTAGATTTCATTTATTATTTCTGCATTCTTGTTTATGCCGAAATTGTCTAAGATTGCCAGCATCTCTATTGCAATTCCGTCTGTCCCTGCTTCTTTGTTTCTGTTCAATTTGGCCAGTGCAGCTTCCACTTTGATTTTTAGAATTTCCAGCCCGTACTGTATATTGCCGGTTGTTTTCTTTCGTCGCCGCGGAAGAGTTCACCAATATATTCGTTCCAGCGCTGAAGTATTTTCCTTTCTCTAATATGAGCATTCCGTCCTTGGGTTTTATGCAGCCTGTTGATGAATCGGTATTGAATCACACCATATCTTACAGATTACTTTCAAAATTAAAACTATGGACTAAAACTTAAGAGATTTGGGCGGTACAGTTAATTTCAGCAAGGAAACCAAATGTATGAAATTATCAACTACATTCTATAGTTAAAAACAAAATCATTTTTATATCTTATACACATGACAAATGTAAACTCCTTATATGACACATTTATTATATATATTCTATCACTGTGTCACACTTTTTTCAACTTTACTCGCAATCCTGAAATTTTCGATTCACAACTTTTCATTACTGCGATTGTTTTCGACGATTTTTACCTGATTTTTGCGACAATTTTTTTTGTACGATAACAATTTTTGTAACTGAGAAATCGAAATTAATTGCGAAATTCAGCGAAAGTCGCCCATGAAATAAAAACAATTGTTTGTACGGAAATTAAGAACCTATGTACATCAAATTTTCTTAAAATTAAGTGGAGGCAGAAGAATTGTCGTTGAACTTTCAAAGGGTAAGCTTAGATATTAATGCCATAGTTAAATGCAGCGATCAATTTTGAGTTCTTCTGTAGTTTATTGTTTCCTATCACATCTACTTCTCCCTCCCTATTGGGATGAAGGCCCAATCAAGAGCCCTCCGTAGGAGCTAATTTAAGCTAGTATTAAATAAACCTAGGTTGTTTACCATTCAATAACTATTGATGCAAAATTAAAGTAATCGTACCATCTTTGTCAATGTCATTTAACAAAAAAGATATTTTGAAGTTTCACTTTACATTGTTAAGATAAGATTAACATAATAAATTTTATTAATTCTTATTTAATTTCATTTTCAGTATTTAGTTAATAAATCCGAGTAAGGCATCACAAAATGAAATGAAAAAATTTTAATCACAGATTTCACCCCTCTCTCAAAACCTCTTCCATCAATACTAATTTCTATTATAGATTTCATCATTGTTTTCATTAGGATGAGATGATTCTGCATGATAAGGACGGAACACTCACAGGAACGGCACAAAGCAAAGTACTGGCTACAACTGGACTTCTTCCTCCGACGTGTAAAAACGCTGAACATTTCAGCTCTTTAATGCCAGCAAGTATATGCCCGCCAGATGTCAAATTTCACAGATTCGCCTTCAATAAAGTAAGACTTTTATTTCTAATATTTTTTGCTTCTAGTTTTTCTTATAATCTTATGAGATATTTTATTTGGCACCAAACGCAGAATTTTCCGTGAATTTCTTGCTTAGGTGTAATATAAATTTCAATGCACTGATAGTTATATGTCGATAAATCCTAAGAATATTCTTTTTTTATTTTCCTTTCAGATCTATCCTTCGAATTTGAAACACAGAGATTTATTGGTCATCAACAAATATGGCAACACTTCAGCTCCATATAAATTCAAAGCTGTCACTCACAAAGAGGGGTGGATGGTACTGTTGGTCGATGGCATAGATCATAAAATATCTTTTCTAGGTGCAAGCCAAGTCACCAACATCAGCTATGACGCTTCATTTTATCAATTTTATGTAAATTATTTTTGCATTTATCTTTATTTACATTGTTACTGTTAGATTTTTTTAAACTTACAAATCTGTCAATTATTTCTATGGTAAAATGTGTTCATAATGTTTGAAACCACTAAATTTTATCTTACTTATCCCAAAGAGAAAATATATCGGTAACTATTATCGCAAGAATCTACATGCATGTAGCAGAAATAAACACGTAAACTATTTCAAAAATCTTAATTTCTCATCAAATTTTTCAAATTATTCTGTTAAACATAAGCAAAGAATTTTTATACAAGACTGAATGATAACCATTGTTGCAAGCAGAGCAATGAAAAAACTCTTTTCATAAAGCTCTTAGGAAAAAATGTATAAAGTTCTCGTTCGGACCAATTATTTATTTTGTTGGAAATCTTTCTATATTGACGGTTCTATTTTAGTATTTATTACAGACACGTTTGATTTTAAGAAATACAACTATTCAATTTCGAAAAAGAAATTTACAGTAGCAACTTCATTGATTACATAAGCAAAAATTGAATTGTCCCAGTAACTTTTAAGATTGAAATGTATGACGAAGATAAGTGAATGTAATATTCCCATTTGTCGAAATCAATTTCAGTATACCCATTTTTCTTTTTTTTTTCATTTTAGAGTGGCGACTACGTCTTGATAACACAAAACAAAGAAAGCTTACCTGATCGATTTACCATCGACGGAAAAAATAACTTCATTTCGAGATCACTCAAAATGCCAACATACCAGACTGGCGGAACAGGAAACTGGTTTTACAATTCTTCGGCTAAAACAATGACATATTTAGGTAAAAGAATATATTTAATGAATGTGATTAAGTAGTCTTCAAATAGTTCTTTATGTACAGTTCCAGTATCATTCAAAAAGTTTTCTATAATAATCTCATTAGTGATATCAGCTTTTTTTATTGATTGTAAGTCACTTGTAGGCTCTTCTAATTGTAGCTTTATTAGTATATTCTACATAAGTTATTACTTTTTCTTAAGCAAATCAGTTGTAAGTTATGGTTAAACTAGGACAAAGTTCTCTTCGGTCTATTGGTCAGCTTGAGATATGTCTGCAATAGTATATGTAAGGAAATATAGAAAAAAAGCATTGTTTGACAATGACACAAGACTAGATCTCTGGGGCACTGAGTGTAGTAACCTCTCTCTCTCTCTCTCTCTCTCTCTCTCTCTCTCTCTCTCTCTCTCTGAGTACGTCAATAATTGAAAACAAATTATAATGTAAGCAACAAAATAATGAACACAAAAAATCAGTATATTTTTACAAAAAAGAAAACAAACTTGTGCATAAAACAGAAAAAATATTATTCAATAAAAGAGTCGTTAGCGTCTATGGTATGATTTACATTGTCGGCGATCGAGCCGCGCTCTTTCTGGTCTTGGGAACCAGCGGTGGATTACTTCAGCAATCCTGAGTTTTCGCTTACCTGGCGATTGCTCCGGAACAAGCTATCTCTCAATAACGTAGCTTTCAGATGGGGCTGGGTGGATTTGCCCGACTGTCATCGGTGTGATCTTGATTTAGAAGAAACGGCTTCACACGCCTTCTGCCATTGTTCTCAAGTGAGCACTTTCTGGGATTATGTCGGCGAATTGACTGCTCGTATCGATCCCAAGTATACGTGTGCGATAATGTATCCCCCTCCCCATACTCTGGGGAGACACGGTTGGTGTTTCTCACCGTGACAAGAATGATATGGACGCTGCGAATGGAGGGAATCTTGCGATACGAATGCCATTCTCAACAGGTTCTGGCTGGATACTTTTATCAACTCAATATGAAGATCAAAACTGATAGAAGGCGTTTATTGTCGACAGATTTCAATAAAAGGTGGGCAAAGGTTGCAAACTTGCTACGAATGAATTTCTTTTTAAGTCCCCTTTCAAGCAACAGGTCGATTTCCTGTGGACTCTCCCCTCGGTAAGTTAGACACACTTTGTTTATCTAGTAAATGTGAGTAAATGGTGTTCCTGGCCTGTTCCCGGCGCACTCCTTTTTTATGATCCATGTTGAGATTCCAAATATCCCCAGTTTGTTTTTGTCCCCTTTTTTTCCATCTCCATTGGGTCAGCCTTTATTTTTTCCAACACCGTCATTTATTTATTTATTTATTTTTACCTTCTTTCACCGCGAGTGAGTGTGCTTCTGGATTTTGTTTAAAGACAGAATACAGCGGCCACACTTATTATTGTTGTTGTGTGGTTGGGTCCTACTTACATCTGTTCTGTTTAGTTTGAATGCATTTTTTAGTTTCGTATTCTGGGTTCATTACCTCCCCCCCCCACACACACACACACACACTCATTTCATGAGCATATATTTTATGTATTCTTGTATAAAAAAAATTTAAAAAAAAAAGAGAGTGACATTTTAACTGTTTGTACATAATGAAATTTTTATGTCATGGGTTTTGTTGCTGGTTCCTTGTTAATTTATGGTATTATGGTATATGTAGTATTGAATAATGACGGATGAGTTTTGTGGAGAATGAGAAAATTGTAAAGAATGCATGGGTCATGAATCTAATTAGCTAAGGTCTAGGATAGAAATTGTTGACCAGCCTTACCTCACTTTCCCCTCCCCTTGGCCTTGTGCTGCAATTTTTTCAGCTGAAGCATGGGTGAAGGGAAGGATCTAACAAGTTATTGGATCCACGTTGGAGATATCAAAGGAGCTTTGCAAAGATCATCGAACGATAAAGAAGGTTGTTGAAAATATAAGTTGAGAACTCGGAGCAAAGGAAAATCTTTTAAGACCTTGCTTCCCCGAAATGAATGTAAGCTAAAGCGAGTTATAGCGAAACAACTACTTTTGACCGGCGCTTAGATTTTTGAAAATGCTGGAATTGAGGGGGTCAAGAAGGACGAAAAGTATAGAATCTTTGTGAATTGGGATCTATAAAAACAAAATTTCCCAGGCAACCTCCTTTCGCTAAAGCAGGTATTTTAAAGCGTCAAAATTGACCATGAAATACATGTAAATTGACATTTCTAAATTAATTTCCACCGACGAATTTCGAATGACATTGGATGGGCCAAAGGATTGATTTTATCCAATTCAGACGTGATTGAGTCTAAAAAAAGGCAACATGGACGCAGTAGTCTTATGATATGGGTTAGAATTGTTGACCAAACCATTATTGTATCATTTAAACTCGATGAAGTACTTAAAATAAACAGTGCTAACTATTGCGATTTTATGAACAAGATTTTCTTTGCCTGGTAGAAGTCCCTGCCTCGCAGTTTCAAAGTGAAGTGTGTATTTATGCACGACAATGCTCCCTCTAATATATCTACGCTTACCCGTGAATTCTTTGAGCATAAAAGATTTACAGAAGATAATGGAATTGTCACTATCAAGTCCTGATCTGAATCCGATCGAAAATCTATCGTCAATTGTGAAGATTAAATTATATGAAGGTGGTAAACACTATAACAACAAAGCAGACCTATGGGAACAATTAAACCTACTGAAGTAAAAAAAAATATTTTTAAATCGATGAATTACTTGCTGTTATTGAGAAAGATCACTATATTAAAATGTAAAGGGGTCAAAGACTTATACTATATGTTTATTTGTTCTATTTGTCTATTTGTTTTCATTGAAGTAAAATGTGATTATTTGTTTTTGCCTAATAACTTCAGGCGCCATTTTTTTTTTTAGAATACATCAAATAACTCCCATAAAACATATTGATACTACCTAAAGTTTTAACTCGGGCTTTGTTTTGACATGTCGATTGTTTAAAATTTGACAATATTTTTTTAAAACCAAATTTGAATTATTGAAGTTTATATGATTTGCTTAATAACTTCAAATAGTGTGTATATCCCGGTCAATGGGGCATTGTGAGTAGCAGGGTTAGTCATATCTGTTTTTGTGTTATCTTAATGGTTATTAAATAGGCGAGAATGGTTATATTTTAAAATCATTCTAAAAACTATCGCGTAGAAATAATTATGGTCTAGAATGCAGCTATTTTATAACAGAATAATTAATGAATAAATACAAAACACCCTAAGTAATCAATAATAAATAATGAGTTAAAAGTAAACGAACAACCTCTATACAATAGTTATAAAATAACCGCATAAAATTATTTAAGGAAAAATGTTACATTTTTGTACAGGGCAACATTTGTAAAAACATTGTTTTTACAGTGAACTTTAAAGATTTTTTATTGAAATTATTTGATATATTTAATTTTATATATCCTATTACCTGTATTTTGCTTTATGATTCCAGTGTCTTACAAAGCAAGTCTGTCTCGAAGCAAGAGAAGCGCATCTCTAACGAGCTCAAAAGATCGAAGCCTACGCTTCGCAGCATTTCGCTGTTTCTATCTGAACTGCGAACCTCCCAAAGATCCTCGCCTTTCTCCGCCGAAGACCAAGAGGCCCAAAACTTTCTATCTATGGTCGATGAAAGATACATGGAGTAAAGTAAACAAACTTCTCAATTCAAATACGCATGCCAGGCTACCAACAGAGAACGATAATGTTACTATTCCCGAAGGTAAATCGATGGAGAATTTAATTCTAAAATTGCATTTTCTTCGCGTATAGATATGAGCGTTCACACATAACCCTTGATTCCCTTCGGTCGAATCAATGGCGGCAAATGAGTCAGTAAATCTCCTAAAAATGAAAAGCTTTTACTTCTTGAAATCCAACAATCTCTTCAAAAATATCGATTTGGCTCCGCTAAACAAGCAACGTAATTTTAAAATATATTGCTTCAAATTATATTTCTTTTAGTGATTAATGACTATCTACTCAGCTTATCTGCCATAACAAAATCCCAGTCTGTGTAGTAGGAAAGCTTTAAGATAAAATTTGTCTAAGCTGGTAACTGCTGCTATTTTAGGACTTAAAATTAAAACATCGAATATGAAAAATTTTAATAATTCTCAATTTTTCCTTTTAACTGTTTGCTTCCCTTGTAAATTTTATACTGTGGTAATGAAAAAATAAACGTCATGCCATACATTAAATATTGAAAGATCATTGAAATGTATCAATTCCGTAAAAACAAATACTGACGATAAATGAACTGTCAATGAATAATACAATTAAAAACACATCAATATTTTAATAATATTAATGAAAATATATTTAGTAAGGCATGGAAACCTTTATCCTATCACTTACGACAATCACATACCGTATATATTAGTATTTCTATGGATGCCAGTGTAAATACAATTACTAAAAATTCTTTCTATATTTTTGAAGCGGTTAATAATAGCATTTTTTAGTCTTTTGCAATCGAGTTACCGCTGATAGTTTTCGAAAAATTCAGTACATGTTGTTTTTTTTTTTGTTAAAAAAATAAGTAAATGACATTAATAACATTAATAACAACTGAGAACTAATTTTCTATAATATTTGTCTCCTTGCATAAATGTTACGAGATAGTTGTAGCTCAGTTTTCGAATTACTATTTAATCTTTCATAGCATAAATTACAAATATCGTCAGTGACATGTATGTGAGAACAAACACAGAGCTTTTTCCAAGTGTTTCAAATTTTGAAAAATACTTTTTCTTCCTTTTTTTTCAAATTGCAGGAATGTGGGTTGTAGCCGACACCAGTATTCCTAAATTGGATGCTCTACACGTGTACGGACAACTTGAAATAAGCAACGATCTTCCGAAAATTACCCTAAGCGTCTCGTATATATACATTCGAGGAGGAAGACTCATCTTAGGTTGGGAAAATAAGCCTTATCCAGGAGAAGCTATTATTGAATTGAAAGGAACAAAACACGCCCCAAGCTTCCCAGTAAATTCTGGACCAAATCTTGGATCAAGTTTCATAGGTTAGAATTTCTTTTAAATCTTTACAATCAGCTAAACTAACCAGCAAGAGCCAAGTTCGAATTCCAATCGAATCCATTACATTCACTTACGGGCTAATACTATTAGGAAATGTATGAATCCTCTTCTTCTCCCCCAGCAGGACAGACCAGGTTCTATAGCCTTGCATGGCAACTGGTCTACCGTAGAAAGAAATGACAACCTACTGCGGAAAAAAATCTGCCTCGTCAATGATGTATTGAAAGATACATGATCGCCTAAGCGTGTATTACGCATGGCACAAGTAAAATCATTTTAATCAGTCCCGTACATCAATTAGTTTTTCAGCTTAGAATCCACCCTGTCGGCTGGGACATCAGAATACGCCGAATGCACTCCTGCAATGGGGCCACCTGTTGGTCATGGGTGGCGACCAAGTGATGCCTGGGGACCGAGTTCTGGTCATCACTAAATACAGATTAAAGATATTTAAGCCAATACTCTAAATACTGTACAATAAAATTGTGACCATTATATCAATAGTTCCTGTTTACTGGAATGATAAAAATATATATCAATGTTTGTGCATATACTTGGGGATTGTATTGATTAGGTAATTTTCGCCTAATTATCTTGAAAATGTTTCTTGTTACAACTTATAAAAATGTACTTCTTTCCTGTTAGCAAAACCCAAGAGACATAGCGAAAGTTTCATTGTTTGATACAAGTTCTCAAATTCCTCTCATATTTTGAGTTTGTATCAGTTTTGATCCCCCCACCACCAAAAACAAATTCTAAATCAGTCAACAGTAAATGTTTAGTAGTTACTCTTGTGATTGTACAATTTTCAGTTTCGATATTGCAAATCTAAACACAAATATTATTTTTTAAATCTTCACTTCGAATATATTTTGTAGGAAGATACTTGGTTCTAGAATTAAATCCCAAAATAATTTTTTGTGAAGTCTAAAAAATGACCGAGTAACAAAGGTTGAGCTTATTTTTGTTTTTAAAAATAAGATTAATCAATACTACAAGTACATGCTGATTGCTATCAATGTGTTTCAATTTGATGTTGCAACCTGATCTTGAATAAGCCTATAAGACGAAAAGATATTTATGAAGATGCCGTTGCTTATTTAAGAAGTGTACAAATATAATGACTATTTATGAGGGTGCCGTTGCTTATTTAAGAAGTGTACAAATATAATGACTGTTAAAAATTACTAAAATAAACAACACGAAATCGCCATGAAGATTCTTCATTCTGATTTTGTACTGTTTTAATGATGGAAGAGAGTATCAGTCGTTAGGGTTATAGTAAGTAGTTTCTTATATCTCTTGAGATCAAAACTATTGTTGAAAAAACGCTTTAAAATAAGTTGTAAGGAAAGTTTCATCTGAGATATTTACAAAGTAGGAAAATTCTGAACGGTCAATTTCTTCACTGCTGATAGTTTACAAACTTTGAAAATCAGCATATGAAATATAATTCACCTGCATTCAAACAAAGAATATTGACACTGGATGTAAAATCTCTACTGCTTCTCCTACGCGAAAGACAAATAAATAAATGTTTATAATTATTAACTCTAAAATTTGAAACATATATTCTTCGGCTTTTTTTATTTGACATTTCAGGTGTATTTGGGGGTCTTGATTTACATGGCAACGAGCGCGTTGTACAGTGGACACGTCTTGCATCTACCCTTAAAGTTGGCGAAAAAATAGTGAGCCTACAGAAAGTTGTCGACTGGAAAGTGGGTGAAGAGATCGTAGTAGCTGCCACAAGATACAATGCCTGGGAGACAGAAACATTCCGAATTTTTTCCATCTCAGCTGATCGCAAAATTCTCACACTGAACACAACAGCTATTTATGAACATACTGGTAGGACTACATCCTTCGTTTTTTTTTTTTTTTTTGTTGTTTTTTTGTTCATATATATATATATATATATATATATATTAGCCAGATGCAAATTCATCTTTAAAATCAATTAATTACACATCTATACGCTTTATTCTACAAGGTATTCAAATGAGTATGCTTGGTTTTTATGACAACGTTTCAGCCGATGAGCTCATGGGTATTGTATACTTTATCTGGTTGGTGTTTATTATTTTATAGATAATTACAAATATCTATGAAAGTTTTTTAGCATGAGTTTAAAAACTAATACCTGAATATCTAGACCTAATTGTAGACAATCCTTCTTCTTTTCTAAGTGTAATAAAGAATAGACCCTCATTCCATAAATTTGGTTAATACTCTAACAAAATTACAATCATTTTTTTCGTTCTCATTAGGGGTTGTATATTTATTTACCATAACAAAAAACGCATGACAGTTGCTTATTTAATAAAAGAATTCCGATTCTAGTATAATAGAAAACAGTACAGCTGGGCACATTGTTGGAGTTACAGACATTAAAGAATTCTCATCACACAATTCTATTTAATGTAATTGACAAATGTCATTACAAAAAAAAGGTAGTCTTTTCTCGTCCAATGACAAATGGAAAGTATTAGTGTTTTGAATAGAACCAAACGAATGTTAATTTTTCTGGACATGAACGAGATCCAGACAATGCCAAAAATCAGCAATTTACAGAATTTTAACGCCAGATATAGGTCGTGATCGACGACAAACACTCGCGGTGTCTGTTGTTCAATTTTTTTCTTTTTATTTTGCTCTGAATAAAAGTCAGAGGCGTAAGCGGTGAATATTGATTACCTCAATAATATTGAGTTATCACGTACCTGGTGATCAGTTTAGAATGTGTTACTGTCACATTACAAAGCAGAAATGCCAGATTTACCGGGTAAGATAGTTTGAAAGATATGATTGTGTCTTCTCCCATTGCGTGAGTTCCAATAAAACTTTGAATAAAGACCATGACTCGACATTGTACATCGACATTATATTACATTCTTTTCACATTTAAATTTCTCAGAAATGCTGATTTTCATGTTTTTTTTTTCTGATTCTGTTTAAAATATAAGAATCAAGACTTAAATCTTCATCCGTTATGAGGACATTTTCTTTCGAGAAACACATGCTAAATACTGTAAATATACTTGTATATTTGTGTTCATCTTGCGTGGAAAATATTACTTTACTTTTAATGGCATTGTTTTCATTTTAATTGTAGATTAATTCTTTTTTCTTTTCCTTTTTCTATAAAGTACACAATGAAATTATTTCGGACAAGACAGTCATTTTGTCAGCTGAAGTTGGTCTTTTAACAAGGAACATCAAAATTATTGGTAGTCCGTATGAAAATATGAAACGAGAGATGTTTGGTGCCAGGATCATTGCAGGCGTTACTCAAACCAGCATCGATTCTGTCTATGTTGGTACGACACTAGTTTCTACTTAATTATTAATAATGTCTTCGAAATTCAAACTGGAGTTTAGTGATGATTATGGAAATGGACCGACTGCGCATTTCTATTTATTCTACTACAGAAGAGATCAAAGAAAATATATAATAAATCTCATTAATTCAATTAATTTGAAGATTTCAAGTTTAAAGAGATGAGGTCATAAATATAAATTGTATATTTTGGCAGAAATTTTTCTTGCATTCAATGAATATGTAAATTTTATTTATATATTATTTATACATAGGGATGGGGATGATTCTTTTTTAATTTCCTTACACTGTCAGCACATTGTGGCCGTTTTCATAGTTGGTAGTAAAGAGAATTGGCTTCTTTTTTATTAACGCTTCCATTAACTTTAACCGTGTTTTGAATCTAGATGAGGTACTATTTTCCTCAAGAATGTTGCAAACAGAGGTTGGTAGGTTTTCGTGTGTATTTAAATGGATCCTAATGAAGCTATGATCCAAGAGTCTTTTTGATAAGCATGTAGTGATTATTATTGTTTTCATCAGGGATGCAGTTCTGTAAGGGGCATGTAAATTCATAAATAATGCTGGTTGTCTATAGTTTGATTTTTAGAGGTGAAACCCAAAAGATCCAAACTACAGAGAACCAGCCACAAATTTTCCTATATAGGAAAATTTGTGGCCTCACCTCTTTATATTTAAAATCATCAACTTAACTGAATTAATGAGATTTATTTACTGCTCAAATTTGTACAGAAAAATTAATTCAATTTCGAAAATGGTACATTGTAACATTATAAGCCAATCATCTATTTTTAATTTCATAAATTTATGTAAATTTATTTTCTTTAATATTTTTATACATCTGAAAATGTATTTTATGTTACCCTTGTTCTGACTAGAGTGATAAACAAAATATACATATTTTGTACATGATAGGATAATACAATATAATAACGGATTTATTGCCGTCATCTTTTTTTATTTCTCGAATAGTGATTCAAAGTTGTCAAAGCTATCAGATTCTTCTACCTTGACAGTATAAATCTTTCCTCACCATGATCTTGTCCAAGATTTTAAAATATCAGATAGCCGCGTGTTTTGTAGAATTATGACATTTCTTTATTTTTTATGAAACAAATTTAACATTAATACTCACTGTTCTAATTATTTATATATTGTTGCAAGCCATGAGTCTACAAATCCTTTCAAAGTATCTACATGATTCTTAGTATCTATTTTTTCTATATATATGTCTTATTCTTCCACTTATGTCATTGTTTCTTTCTCTATCTATAGTTCCTCCTTTAGTAATAGTAATGTTTAACCTTTTTGTGAGTGTACGACTGTCTTTACATCGAAATATTAATACCATTTTATTTTCCTTGTAGGTTATATACGTTTATCCAATGTAGAATTTATGCACACCGGACAATATGGCTGGGCAACAAGCAGCGATCCTCGGTATTCTCTAGTTTTTCACAATTTGGGTACAATTGACCATGTGCTTCGACCAACATACGTCAAGAATTGTACATTTCATCGTGGTTTTTCCAGTGCAATTGGCGTATACGGTAGCAACAGCATGAATATTGAGAACAATGTCATCTACCGAACACTTGGTTCAGGTAAGATAAGTTCGTGTAGACAAGAGAAAGAATACTTCCTTTCCATAAGTTTTTCTCTTTCTTTTTCTTCTCGCGTGATGATGAATGCCACAGAAAATTTTTAATTGTATCCGTAATATTATGCTATATCAACAGTCACACTGTCAATAAGATTACTAGTTATTTTGTATAACGATTGTTCAAATCGTATACGCCAGTTAGTGTGAAATTATAAGAAGAGTTATTAAACACTTGATGTTTGTTCGAATTGTAAACTACTGTTGATGGAAAGAACAAGAATTTTTTCATGTTAATATCCTTGTAGAATATATAAATTTAAATGTTACTGAACTTCTTTTTTTAACTTCGGCGAAGTTCAGTTCTTCCTAAGAAAGAATCAGAAAGTACAAGATGAAATATATTAAGCGAGTTTCCTTCAAAATAGATTCTGATAAAGTTTAAACATGAAATATCCGAAAGGAATTTAGTGAAAACTGACAAACATTCACACCATTAAAGACAACCAAAGGATAATAACTCTTTGCATAAATTAATTAACTTTCATAATCGTCTCAGTTTTATGGTAATGTAGTTATATTTTTTATACGGTCTAATCCGAGTGTTTATACGTGAGGATGTTAAAAGATTCTCGATCTAGCCCACTTCCTAAAATTTGACCAAAAATTTTGGGGGACGGGCTGCTTGAAATTTTCACCACACACTTCTATAATGAATCGTTTAACTCAGAAATGATACTTTAATTGCAATAAGAATTGTAATTTGTTGATTTTTTTTTCTTTATCAAAGCTTATTACATTATTGAATTTGACCTTCTAGCTTCCAGGAGATGATTTATTTGTAATGAGAACCGACAGTTCAATTGGTTTTTGTGTCTGTACAAAAAATTCGTCTTTAGAATTTCTCCCCCATCCCCGGCCATGTGTTTAATCAATTTATTAGTACAGTTTCCAATTTCTGATTTCGATCAAATATTGTCTTTCTTTGAAGAATTTCTTGACAAGTATAAAAACATGAAACGCCTGTTTTAAAAAAATAATACAGGGTGTTTCAAAAAGAATACGCCAAAATAATCACATGATATGTCAAAAACGAAAAAAAATTACAAACCTCTAGCCTGAACACATGTGTTATATATACATTCAAGTTTCATTTCATGTTTTATAAGTGCTCAATGTGGCCACCACCGGCAGCGCGGACAACATCAAGCTGATATGAGAATTCCTCCCGAATGCGCCTCAGCATGTCACGGTCCACCGTGTTGATTGCAGCTGTTATTCGATCTTTCAAGTCATCGATACTTGCTGGAAGTGCTGGAACATAAACTTGGTCTTTAACATAACCCTACAAGAAAAAGTCACACACAGTGAGGTCCGGAGATCTAGCAGGCCAAGCACAGAGAGCAAGGTCTTTAGTACCTCTCCTCCCAATCCATCGCTGAGGCACGTTTTCATTCAGATAAGCTCTAACCCCGAGATGCCAATGGGGTGGTGCTCCATCTTGCTGAAAAATGAAGTCATTAGAATCTGCTTGCAGTAGAGTGAATAGCCATTTTTGGAGCATGTCGAGATAGGTTTGTCCTGTTTGTAGCTGCAGCGGAAGTTATACTAACGACAGCGGTGAAACTGACACCCAATCAAACTTTGATAACTACTCTATCAAATAACCACTGATTCAGTCCACTACAATGCTATAGACCTGAAAAAACAGTGTAATGATTTTGGCGTATTCTTTTTGAAACACCCTGTATATTCAGCGATCTATACAAAAAGGTTATGAGCTTTTATGATCATGAGCAGATTTTAAAGTTTAATCTTTGAAGTATGAAAATGATGAGAACTGTGATCTTCTCTTGTGGGAGTTGATTATTCTGTATTTAAAACCAAAATAAGCGTTGTTTTGTTGAGGATTTTCTGAATATTTTCTAATTTGACAATTCAAAATGGCGCAGCCATGTTCAAGCAGACTCGTGTCAGAGTGACTTTATGGGAATCACTTGATAATTAATGGAATCTCTTTTCCATGAAAAGCGCGATGCTTAAATAACCATCAGCGAATGATGGCAGAAGTTCCTCTTGAAGAATAACAATGTATTTCTCTAAATTCATATTATCAATATAATTAATAAGCTTTGATAAACCAAGGAACTAAATGCTCTACATAACTATTACCAAAATCGTTCGTATTTCATAAGTTATGGCTGATTCAGACAAAGGTATTTAATAGGAAATCACTTTTGTATCAAACTTTCAAAATCTGGTACTGTTACAGATCTTTTTAAATTATTTTTTTAAATTATTGCATTTCTAAATAAACCAAATAATTGTCAATGTCACATTCAAGTGTGTTACTAATGTAATTATTTATAATAGTATGAATATTTTTCTATTTTACTTCTCTTGTGTGCATTGATATTTATAGGTTCAGAGCATTACTTTGTTGATTTTTTTTCAGTTTCAAACATTTGTTCGAACTACTTAACATTCAAGTTATAACTTCGTGCAACGAAGTTCTAATATGACTAAAATCTTCAGAAATGACAACTTCAAAAGCTGAACAAATTATAGTAAACAAAGGTCACAATCAACACGTTGAAAAACCAGTTAATGTTAACATTTTAGTATTGTTTTAGAATACAACATATTAAGAGTAACAGTCCATAGAAATAGTAACACATTTATGCAATACGCTTACATTCGTGTATGGGAGTTTTGTTTAACTAAGATTCTTGTAATAATGATTAACATATTATTAACCAGAATATTAATATTTAATGATCATCATTCTATTTATTATTATTATTCATCGATTTGCATGTTCGCATCAAATGTCTTGTTGGTTGTCTTGACAGCAAGTTTCTTCACATCTCCAGTTGCCGCCTTTCTCAATATCTTTGTATATTCATTAATGCTGTGGTATAAATATTATTAATCCTTCTTCCAATTCTAGTATTTTTTACATGTTTACAAACTATAATGAGCACAATCATAATTCTACAGTCTTCTCCGTTCCCGGGTGAAGTTCTTTTTCAGTGGTATGTGTGCTGATATACCTTTTCACCCCGACCACAGTGGAGCAAAATGGCATATTCCAATTTGTTAAAAAAGCGGTTTTATGTTTGGTAAACAGAAGCTAATGAATTATTTTCGTTGAATAAAGCTTTAACTAAAAGCCTCTCTTTATTTTTCACTTCAGTATGTCCTTCCTCTTTTATTCTTTGTTTTTTGTTTTGTTTCGTTTCGTTTTTTTTATGACTGTCAAATTCAGTTTTCTCGCTTGATTGGGTGACCAGTTTCGATGTCCAAGTCTAAGTATTTGTGTATTGTTTTCAATATCGGCCTGTGATTTGTGTTGATACAATTAGTTTATGTGATGGAACACAACTTTATCATCATCATAATTGTCATTATTATTATTATTATTGCAATTTTATCATTTATTTTTAGTGCAACTTTATCATCATTATTATTATTACCGTTTTTAGCCATTATCTCTGAATCCGACAACATCAAAGTTCGCAACAACCTTATCACTTTAGTCGTATGCCCAGCAGTCTACATTGTACGTTTCAACTTGACGGGTGGCATAACCTGGCCGGCTGGTATCGAATCGATCAAAGGAAAAGACTTTGAAATTAAAGATAATGTTGTGGCCGGCTCGGAGAGGTTTGGGTACCATGTAACTGGAGAGTATTGCAACAAACCAAGTAAATGGTTCAATAACTATGTTCGTGGGGCTCTTCTCGGTGTAGGGCAGTTTCCAAAGGACAGTGATATCCTCAAGAAAGAATGTGTCCTGTACTCTGGATTTCATGTGTTTCGCTGTGTGGATGCAGGCATTTATCATAACCAAAATCCAGGTAAGGCAGTAACTTTGATAAATCTTTAATACAAATGATTTAAATTCACATGAAAGTAAAGAACAAAGCAGTATTATATTTTATATGAAGATTATCTCAAATTATGAAAGAGAAGACAGAAAGTGATAAATAAGGCATAAGGCGATTTTCTTTAGTGAATTACACACAGAAGAAGAGATTAAGGATAAACTCTTATATTGTGTTCTGCAACCACTGTTGTTGGGAAGTCAAGAATAAATCTCTAAGTCTTTCACAGATCATAAAATGTATTATCATTGCGGAAGTTTTAAATAAATGTTTATAGATTAGAAAAGATTTGTAAACGTTTGTCAAAGTTGGAAACCTTGGTAAAGTTGATTACTATCATGCATTTAATATTAAGAATAATTGGGAATTTGATGCCAACGATATGCTGTTATATTTAATGTCGTAGTTTCATTGATTTTCTCTATCAACAATATTCAAGTTTAAAACTTGCATTTTAAAATAAACTAGACGACTGGATCAACAACTAACATTAAAGGGATTTAAACTTTATTAATTTACTTTTTTCTTTAGGTTTTAATCTGGAAAACAGTGTACTCGGAGAAAATAGCGTCTCTGTCTGCCCGATCGTTATTGGACCAATGGCTATAACACATAAGACTAGTAGTAAGAAAATAGCAATCAGAAACACAGTATTTGTGGGCCTCACGGCGTCATATGACTGCAATATTGAAAGACTGGATAAAACCAATCCCAACATTCTCTTAAGCAATCTTGCACGTTCTGGCACGGATGGCCGGACAATAGGTTTCATGTGGCCAACCTTCTTGTCTAATGGAAACAATGCACCAGAGAAACCCCTCTTCAATATCATGAGTTACCCGACAATATCTGGGTTGATGATTGTCGAAAGTAAGTATGGATCAATTTGTTGTTCTGACTTATTAAAATTAATGTATGTCCCTCCCACTTTCTCTTAATAAAAGGAATTATATACGCGTATTTGTACGCATTTATGAATGTCTTTCTGTTTGCATATTAGTTTCGCGCTATCAGCATCATAATTTGAATTCAGGTTAAACTAAAGTATTGAATTTCAAAGTAGCTTCGTCCTTTATTCGAGAAAACTTCTAAAAATACGGCCTTCTAAAGAACCAGAAGGTCCTCGTTGCAGTGTTTTTCATGCTTGATGCGCGTCTCGTTGAGAGTCTGGTCCCCACTGCTTATCTTATGCGAAATCAAGAGCTATTTAGTTATTTTAAGTAATTTCAATGATGACATTTAAAAATTTTCAAAAATCATGCGCGTGTAACATATTAAACTGAGTCATGAGAAAACAGTTTACATATGAGTGAATGCATACATGAGTATATTCAAGTGATATGAGTATTCGTATGTGTATCTATATCTATAAGTGTGAATATCAAATAATTATTTTTTTTTAAATTTGTTTTCGTCTAGAAAACCCTTTCAATTACATTCAAACAAAAGCTCAGTCTTCTCAACCTTCATATGAGACTTGTATTTGACTCTAGGAATTTTGAAGGACTTTGCTTCAAAATCTGGTTAGATATTCCAAGCAAAAAGTTAAATCTTTGTTAAACCTATATTCTTGAATATTGTGATAATTTTTCAAATGAATCCAAGTAATGAACGTTTTTATCTCTACACTTCTTTGTTGGCAGCATTCGATTCTACAAGATGTTTTTAAAGGATACCTTGTACCTCTTCTGTTGCCTCAATTTACTCTGACGAAGACTAGTTTACGTAAAAAGAGAACTTTGTAAAACAATAACCTTCCATATCTTCTCACCACATCAGCTGGTCGAGGCAAAGAAGTCTTTCACAGAGTGGCTTCAAGGCTTATTACGAAGACAATCTCGAGGTTATATCAGTGTACATTAAGAATGATGTGGAAGTACCTCTGAAAGAGTTCGAAATGTACATTACTGTGATATATTATCCATATTCGGCTCTATAAAGGAGAATAGACAACACGATGGTTTTGTAGATTATCTTTGCTTTTTCTGATATGACTGACGCTCGACAGTCACATTCTATGTATTAGCCAGACTGTTTTTTATCTCTTTTTTTTTTCAACATAGCATTCGATTATATTACACAATTTAAAGTACTGGAGTATTTTTGGATTTATCAGGCCAATGGAGTATGAGTTTTTTTCATGTTGACTTCCAAACCGAACAGTTTGTGACAAGCAGAAAGTTAAATATGCTAAAAGGGTGACTTTGAGGGGGGGGCTAGGGAATGCATCATCCATGAAGAGAAGCTAGGTTTCGTTATCTATAGCCTAATTCATCATGATATATATATATATATATATTGGTTAAAATCTGCTATTTTTACAGAAAATTGTTCAGTATCGGAGACAGGGCGCTTATAGGTACAAACAGTGGAAATAGGAATCGTCACTAGATTGTGACTGTCAGTTTTACTCCTTAGTGCGACCTTAAGACCAAGTGTATTTGTGGATGCCGTAGTAGGAATTCCCTTAAAGGAATAGTATTACTTGTTCTGAAGATTACATTCAGGCATGAGCCTAACAGTTACTATAATGCGTTGTTCTCTGTTCCAAATAATATATAATGTATCCAATAAAACAAGAAACTTGGAAGTACTGCAAAATTTCTTACTTTACCCATCTCTTGCAAAAATTATTGTAGAATTCAAATGAAATGAGTGTAAATTTCATTTTTCTTTCTTTCTTTTGAAAAATGAAAACAGATCAATTGTATTAGGTGTATATAAAAGTTTCCAGCCTCCTCTTTTTCGAAAACTAGAGACTAAATATACAAATTCAATGTTTATTTATCTTGTGAGAAAAAAGTAAATGGCCACATGCAAGACAGTCATGTACAAAAAATTACAATTTCTTATTTTCAATTTGGGCAAGACATTACCAGATAATAATTCATGAAAGGTGAATTTGACTACAAGCCAAGCAACAGTAGACAATAACAATTTGGAAGTAATGACTTCCAAGCTCTTGATTTGAATAATAGTTCCGCTTAACGTTGGAATTGGGTGGAAAACTTGATATCGACCACTTAACAGTTGTAAGACATTCGCAAAATATTGGGAGAGTTTAAAAAACTAGAAAATGAATTCCTCATTCATTGCTAGAACGAAGCTTTAGACAGTTTCTCAACACCTGCATGTAATAAACAGGCATGAAAAATATTTTTGGAGAAGATTGCCATAAAAGTTTATAAGTGATTGTTTGCTATGATGAGCCAAAGTATCGAAAATCATGGCTTGACTCAGGATTGCCTGTAAAATCAATAACAAAAATAGAAAGTTGTTGGTGGTATTTGAAAGACATTAGGAATTCTCGAAACCTGATAAAACTGTTAAAGCAGAACGTTAAATTTGTTATCTTCGGAGTTTGGATGTGCAACTACAGGAAAAAAAAGAGTCGTGGTGACGATAAGTCATATTGTTGTATAACAACGTTAGTTTGTCAACACAAAAGATAATTGAGTTGATGTCATGGAATTCGAAAAGTTTCAGGCTGTTGGTGTAAGCTCATAGAAAGCCAAGGAGAATTTAGTCATGAACAAATATATGTATGAATAATTAAATAAGTTCCAATGAAATAAGCTTATTTTCATATTTATAGTCTTAATTCTAGAGAAAATGTAGCTTATTTTTAAATAAAAAAGGACGCAAATCAATTTATTTCATATTTTGTTACTGAAAGATGTTATTTTTCTTCTTACAGATGTAACATTTGCACACTTTAACCATCAATGTGGTAATAAAATGAAAACTATAGTCTTGATGACAGCAGGATTCAACGATGATGGCCAACATCCAGTGGTAACAAGAAAAATTAAAAAGACAGATGTCAAAAGCACCAATTTGGTCTTCATTCAAAGGCCTAATATCGGGTAAATATGTGAAAGGCAAAGACTTCATATTAAGTTATTCTGATCTCATTAATCTTAGTGATGCTGTTTAAACTCGCATTTAATCAATCATTTATGCAATAAAATGTGATTATAAAAAATGAAGTAATTCTTTGATTCAGTTATAAGATTACTGCATAAAACCATAATTATTTTACTGTCGCTTGTTGTGAATTGAAACAAAACGTTGATACATTCAGTTTGTTTGAAATCCAGTCTTTATATTGAAACCATTTTTATATGCAAATTTTTCAAACATCAAAGCTACAACCTGTATTTATTCAGTGTGAAAAATGGCCCAATAAACTAGTTGACAACCTTTATATGCATCGCTATATGTTAGTATAAAACAGTTAATATTTTAGTTTTATTAAATTTCTTGTAGGAAGATTAATTCTGCTGACTGTGTTGATATGGACTGTGATGGCATGAAGAAAGCTCTTCTGGTTGACGAGGATGGATCATTTGTTGGTGGCTTAGCTCCTGTCAGTGTATTCTCTCAGTCAGAATGGGAATGGAATGGAGACAAACGACGAGGATTAGGCGATTACAGGATTCCTAAAGTAATGTTGACATCCATGAATGGATCCAGGCTTCCAATTGATAAGGTTGCACCACATAAAGGTAAAGTACTCTACAATAAACATGTTTCATTCACACTGGAAATTGACCACCACATTGTTTTCAGCTTGATTCTTAATTACTTTCTACAATCAACTTTTTTCGTAATCACAGATTGCTCTTTTATTACCTCAACTCACGAGGAACTAGGCATTGAAACAATACATATTAATCCCTTATGGTCATTTATTTCCCTAAGGATGAGAGACATGAGTTATCATTTAACGTTAACCGGTCAATCGCTTCTTTTACAATTTGACAGCCGAGAGATCAGATTCTTGAATGTTACCTGACCGATTCTGACCTCACATACGTTGTTCCGTAGGTGATACTTTTTTGAATTTACCTTAATCGTTCCTGATTAGACAAGCCAATATATTTCCACCATTCACCGGTGTCATATATAGTATTCCAAAATGTAACCGCTATATAGTAAAATTGATGAATTCAAGTCACGTTTAAATATTGTTATTACTTTAAAAAAATTATTAGCTAGTTCCACAATAGTATTACCATTTCTAAACTGAATGGGGTTTTAAAATCTATCATCCATATTCTCGGGTAGCTAATGAAAATAATGCAAGCATACAGAAGTATTTTTGAGTTTTCAAGCTATGAAATATATTATCTAAAAAAAATTAATTCTTCAAAAGCTTAATTTTATTTTACTAAAATACTATTTTGTTGAACTGTTGTAATCAGCAACTTACGCAATTATTTCCTTAAAAAAAGAGTTCTGTTTTTTAAATCTTTAAAAATTTGATCTGGCAGGACACGTATGGGAAGAAATTCAACCCACTCACCCCGGTCCTAAGGAGGTAAATTAAATGGGAAAGAAAAAAGCAGGATCTGATTGTAGGTTAGCAGGTTAAACTTTTCGGTCTACTGAAAATAATTGTTTTCTGGAATTGTAATCCCAGCATGAACAGCTGGCCGCGTTCATCTCTCTTTTTTATAGGCATTCTACTTGATTTAAATATACTAATTTCTACTTCTATATTTTTATTTTCTTTTGTTAATGGTGAAAAAAAGCGTGTAATTCTTAAAATTTCGACCATAGCAGTGTAGGTATGCAAGACATTTTACATTATTTAATTTTTATATTTTTTTCCTTCTCTCCCTTAAAACTTCAGCAAACTCTCTGAAAATCTTTGATATTTTCATTTGATAGTGGCTATCTTTAAATAAGTTACAGCTTTATATATACATTTCCATTCTTTTACTCACATCATAATCGATAAGTGTCTTCTTTATGCACTCTTTCCCACTCAGGTATAGCTTAAATAATTAATATTACTTCAATGAAGAAATATTCAATGGGGGTAGGGAATGCTTGTGCGTCCCCAAGTAGCTAATGCCAGCTCCCTGCTCCCAGTTTGTCAAATGAGCAAGCATGTTTCGTTGTCAGGGTTCCCAGCTTAGTTGCAATGATTCGGGCCCAACGAAAAGTTCTGTTGTTGTGACCTCTGGGTGGATGATGTGTGTTCACTCCGAGTAGTATGCCTGCATTTTCTTCTTTAATGGATTGTTTGTCTCTTCATTAAGGGTGCTAGAAGTAAACTTCTGCTGGGTTGGCATTATCCACTTGAGAGTCACAGGTCCGAACTTCAGAGTAACGCTATCTGATCAGTAGGTGTATAATATTGAAACTATATTATTGCTATTTTGTGAATGGGATCTGGACCATGCAGTAGTTTCTGGTGGAGCTTCTCGATACCATGATGACGAACACAGTTACGGCTGTACTTCGGGACAATTTAATATAGCAAATTGATGCACCTCCTACTTGTGGATGTGGCTATTTCACTTACTCGTCTTCACATGTTTTAAACTCTCTGTATTTCACTTACTCGTCTTCACATCTCTGTATTTCCAGAACAAAAAATAGAAGATACACAAAAACCAAAGTAGACCCTAAGTTCAACATCTCTTATACCAATTTTTACAGAAGTTGAACTCCATCTTCATGATGTTAAACTTGGCCTCCTATTCTTATCAGAAACTGGTCTTTGCCTATCTCAGTGCATGAATTGACAGTTCCAGGCTTCTTGTCCATAAGAGCAAAATTATTATGGACTTGGTGCTTATGTTAAGGATGAATTCTCATGTGGCAGACATTCCAAAAACAAGGGCTCTGATTTCCCGTTCATATGCTTATATGTGGTCCTCGGATGTTTTTCGTCTTCACCATCTATCGTTCACAGGGTGATAGAATTATGTCTGAAAAAATAGCTGAGATGATATCCTTTCTGGTCATCTTTCAACTAACATTCATATTTATGCTGACTTCAATATTCACTACAAGGAGTGGTTAGTCTATTCAATTAGAACTGGTGAAGAGAGATACTGTCATGACTATTCTATCGTTTATGATCTGACCCATGTAGTTGATAAACCCACTCGTGTTGAGTTAGGACTTAACGGGTTATCACACAAATCTTTTAGACCTCTTTCTCACATCCTGCCTTGGAAAATGCTCTACTGATGTATTAACTCCCTTGGGTACTCCTGACTATTAGCGGATCAATGTTAAATTTGATTCCAAACCGAAAGTATCCTGATATCCTATTTCATAGGATGATTTTGAATAATACATTGCGGAAGCTCCTCTTTCAGCTTTCTTCCACATTCTCATTTCTGAACGGTTTAATTCAGGTATGGATAGTTTTATCCCCCACAAAAAATACCGAAAGAAAACAAATAGCCTTCCTTGTTTCACACTAGAATGTGTTGCAGCCATAGCTCACCGTAATCACTACAAGCATTGCAAGAGAGTTCTAGAAAAGCACCTATGCACAGTCAGTCCAATAAACTTTTGAAAACAAGACTTGGTTCCTGCTACTTCTGGAAAATATCAAATAAATTTGTCAATAGAAGCAAAGCGTCAATAACAACTATCATAATTGGCTCGGCGTTATTTAATACTCGTCAGAAAAGGTAAGGCTTTTTGCAATTAACTTTCCCTCTAATTCTACGTTAGATGATAAGGACTACCCATTATCTGACTTCCTCCTTCTAGCGGCGCACAAACTTTGTAATATCTCTATCACGACACGGAAATTTTTTATCAAAAGCGCTAACTCTAAGAAGGCTACCAGTCTGGATAAAATCTCAGTGGTTTTTCTGAAGAACGTTAGTTCAGAGTTATCTCCAATCTTGTCAAAACTGTTTAACTGCTGTCTGAAGTAGAGATGCTTCCCAATTCTTTGGAAGATGTCAACTGTGTGTTATGAAGAATACTGGTGAGCGCTCATCCCCGTTGAAATATCGAGTCTCCTTAGTGTCATCAGCAAACTCTACGAATCTAGAATCAAGATTGTTAAATAAATCAAAATGAACAAACTCTTGATCGATAACCAGTATGGATTTCGCTCTACTAAATCCACTGCTGATGTCCTGTCATTACTCACATAATTAGTGAGGAACGAGACAATAAACTCATCACAAGGACGATTGCTTTAGATATATCGAAGGCCTTTGACAATGTGTGTCATCGGAGGTTGCTACATAAGCTTTCCAGGTATGGAATCTCTAAAAAGTTTTCTTAATTATCAAGTACTTCTTAACAGCTAGGTTCACGAACGTCGTTGTTAGTCATATCGGAAGCTCAGGAGGATCAACGCCAGGCGCTCCCTAAGGCTGTCTCTTCGGCCCTACCCACTTTCTTCTTTTTATATTAATGATCTGCTAAGAACATACTCAGATCTTTAGTGAATATCTATGCAGATGATACAACAGTTTATATAGGAACACTTCCAAAAATCTGGATGACTACTCTGACCTAATGCTGGTGATGCAATAGAGGAAGGACTGGCTTGTAACATTCAATATCTCCAAACAAAATTAGTAACGTTCCACCATCACCGAGCAGATTCCGCATGCACGGGGACGAATCCTTCTCATTCCCTTCGATTCAATTAGTAAGAAAGAATTTCCACTCAGACAACTTCTTCGTAAGAACTGCTACTTTATGGAACAGATTCACAACAGGATTTCCTGATCACTACAATCTTAATCTCTTCAAGTCTATGGTTAACTCTTATCTCTACTACGTAACCTCGTAAACTGCACTTCTTACACCATTCAGTAACACTATACATTGAGTGGCTTTGGGTCCTTGTACTAAGTGAACATTAGTAAAAAAAAGTCCTGATTTTTTTCCTCAACACTTTTACAGAAGATTAAAGTGTGTTAGGGGTGCGTTAATAGAGATAAAATATTTTAAGAGAGAAAGAAATAGAGATAAGATATTTAAATAGATTAAAATTAGGCGAGTATCTGAGATTCAGGTTTATATAGGGTAATCAGTGAACCATTTATTCAGTACTAGCAGCATGGCCCGGCTTGGCCCGTGCTTGATTCAAAAATCGTACGACTCATACAGCAATCGCTATCACTTGACTTAAAATATTTTTGCTCTTCCTTGCCTTTAAAGGAGTGCCCTTGCCGTGCTGATATTGCTCCATGCCTTACTTCTTGCCTATCTCACCTTATACTAAACATTAAATCTGTTACGAAAAAAGAACTAAACAAAATGAATATAAAACGATCAACTTTAAAAAAGCACTCGTAACTGGAAAAACCGAATGAAAAACAATGTTAACAAAAAATACTTTTCACACCCAAACCAGTTTCCTGAAATATTGAAACTGGTCATACTACTTGGGTGGGGTTGTTGTTGCCCTTGTTTTGTTAACCCGGTAATTTGGAAACCATACATTGATCCGATTTTAAGTTCAAATAAAAATAGCTCAAAAGTGTTTAACAACGCGAAGTCAGCTGCACAGAGACCAAAATGAGGTGAAAAGCTTAGATATACAGGGCCGCGTAGTGCAGGCGAGACATTCAACTTAAAAAACCCAAAATCCGTATCACCTGTGAGTTAATCGGTTTTTTTTACAAAGTTTGAGTACCAAATAAAAAAATCGGGCTCCGGCATGACACAATGATGTAAATTGAAAAATCAGATCTGGGATGCGGTCTGGGAGAAAGAACAAAGTTTAAAGAAGTGGGAAATGGCCGCTGAGGGCATGGTCAACACGGAGGTTTGTATCAATTTTTGAGTCACGACAAGGTCACACGGATTTCTATGCAAATACCGCAATACCAGCCGATTTACCAATTTTTTGAAAGCCTGAGTCCAAATTGAAAATCTGTCTCCGTTACGAATTGACGCCGTAAATGTCGGAAGTTGAATAGACATTTGACATTAATTGCAGTCTGGGTGTGAAAAGAAGTCAAAAACTGACAGCTGGATCAACGTCATTTCGTAAAGCATCATGGAGGTGAATGTAAGAGTCGTAGCGCAACTTGGTCTGATTCAATCTGATGTAACAGAGTCTTTCAGATTCTATCTTAGCAGCTATGTCTACTATGAATTGATGGAAAAGTTTCCGGCTTTGATGAAGATGATTGAATGCACCCTTATGTACCATCAATAGGTAGGCGTAGAAAACCCTGCAAGACACTGTTTTTAAAGTGGACCCATTTTGCAGAATGCCAAAGTGGTACCCATCTTCTCCGTAAGGGAAAAGAAGTGGGTATTGCAGTGCATCGTAGGACCGGTGCGTTTCACTGATTCTTCGGGGCCCACTGCCTCGCGATTCGATAACAATGTTGTGCTGATCACCGCTGACAATGACGAAAACTTCGTTACTTCCGAGAGCATTGTAACGACGTTCGTGCTCTCCCAGGGGCCGTTTGTCATCATCAATTACAATAATGAAATCAGAAGTGTTATTTTCGAGAGCATACTTAAAACTGCGGACATAGCTGTTTGTCTCGTGGAGCATTTGTTGGAGACTCATTATGATATCCCTGCGAGGATGGCTTGTATCGTTTTCGGGAATAATGCCCATGCGGGCATCTGCCTGTTGATTGTAGTCAGCTATGAAATACATTGTAGAAAGGCCGAATCAGTGGCAGTTTCCGGCAAAAGAGACTCAATCTGGAGGTAAACCTGACCTTGAACCTTGAAGGTGGAATTCCAACCGACTTCGCGGAAGGCATTACCACCAAAAGAGGTCACCTGGAAGGCACGATTGTACTGTCTGATTTTTGCGAGGAAATGTTTGGAGTCTGGACTGGAACCCTCTAACAGAGCTTTCAACGGAGCAAGTATCTCTTTAAAAGGTAGCAACTGTACCTTACCGTTTGAACAACACAAACCTGCAGACTCTTCAGGTCATTTTTTGGCATTGCAATGCCCACAGACAACTGACATGGATCCTATTTGGAGGTCTTTGCGACCGGAAAGCATCAAAACTGGCTCATACTTGAACGCCAACTTAAACCAAAACTGCTTTGTTGGGCTACAGAGCCCTCGTTGTGCATGGCGGCGCTGGTTAACAGTCTACAACCTTTCAAGCCTGTCGGTGGGTCCTTCTACAGCTCTAGCAACGGAAGTTGAAATTGCATCGCGTTGCCGCCTTGTGCGCTTTTGCGGGGAACTTTCCGAAGCCCTTGCAGCAGAAGTTGCAGCGGCGTCGGCTGCATGGCGTGCGGTTTTCTCAACCATGGATTCCTGGGACCATCGAGTGTCCATTTCCATTTCCTTTCGCTGCATTACGTGCGGTTTTCTCAACCATGGATTCCTGGGACCGTCGAGTGTCCATTTCCATTTCCTTTCGCTGCGTTACGTGCGGTTTTCTCTGCCATGGTTTCCTGGGATCATCGAATGGAAGTTGCAGCGGCGTCGCAGAGGCTCTTTTAGAAAGACTGCTAATGTAGCCTCGCCATAGTAGTTTGGCACGCTTAGCAAAGCTGCCGGGTCGGTCATCGCCACGGCACTCAGAAGAGTGCAAAGCAGAGGTTGCAATAGACGCCAGTCGCTTCTCCCCCAAGGACGTGCACTCAATGGAATCCTGCTCCCGTTTTCCCCTTAGCCGGTGTTTTTGCTGCCTTTGCAGAGCTGCCGGTTTGGTCATCGCCACGGAACGCAGAAGAGTGCAAAGCAGAGGCTGAAGTAGACGCTATATGATCATCTGTAACCGGAGTTATTATGTGCTCCTCCACAGTTGCCTGTTCTGCATGTGTAACGTTAACGGTATTAGGGGTCTTCAGTTGCTGACGTTCGGATGTTCGTCGTGTAGGAGCCATTTGAAGGTTTGTAGAAATGCTGTGTAAGAATGCGAATAGAAGTTGATGCCGAAGCTGAAGCGGTGCAACCTCGTTGTATACGAAAAATAAAAATGCAGTGGAGCGGTATGGAAAAAGCTTCTCCTAGCTATGGGCCGTGCTTTCTGGCAGAATGAAAACGTCACTGTAGGAAGAGGTTACGAAACCAAAACGTTGAAGCGTTGAAGGTTAAAAAGTAGTGAAAAACTGAGGTGTACTGGGCCGCGTACTTAAGGCAGAAGAGAAGTAACTTGCGACAGTAGTTAACTGTCTAAAAGCAAAACTGAACTACGAAAAGATAGAAATAAGTATGGAACGCTAAGATGGGCTGCGCAGTAGAGGCAGCACGCGGAGATAAAATGGGTAATGCAAACGTTTAAGCAAATAGGTAACTTGCGGTAGAATGCAAGGAGCTGGAATGAAGCGTTTGTTCGTTTGGTTTGTGCGACAACGAATAGCCGTTAACCGTTTGCCGGCATTAGCTTTGAAATGGATTGGGAGGAAGCCCTGCTGTTTTAGCGCAAAATCTCCTCGTCAGGTCTGGGATGCAGCCTGGGCTAGGGGAAAAGGTTTAGAGAATTGGAAAATGGACTGCTGAAGGCGGAACCATTTTCACTCAGCACGTATGCGGGTTTGTTTTTTTTTTTCAGTAAAGACATGAATAAAGGAAGTACTTATTTTGGTAAGATAGGAACGATTAAAGCAAAAGTGTTGACAAAGTCGAATTTGTCATTTGTGGTTCAAAGTCAGACCTGGTAGCAGGGATAAAAAAAAAAGCCGAATTTCAATGGCCCTGCATCCATTTCAGAATTTGAGGTTAAATGTTTTCTTCCACTCCACTGCGCGCACTGACCTGTTTCTTCCCGCGCATAGCGTGACCTTAAATTAATCTGTATTTAGGAAATACCCAACCGGAAAAACATTTTTAAGGGTTGACCGATTGTCGATTTGCATTCTGTTTTGGGGGCGCTCATAGTTGAAACTTCACATGGTAACTCCCAATGACCTCCTCATAAATCTTCTCGGTTTTCGCTAAAAACCGACATGCAGTTCAGGCGAAATCTGGGCGTATCGGTTTTGGGGTTTTATCGATTTTCAGTAGTGTTTAGGAGTCCGTGGTCCTGAAACTTCTAGACAACACTTCTAATGGTAGACTCTAAGAGGGTGTCAAATTTGGTTGAAATGCGATCATTCCTTCTGTAAGCAGATTTTTTCGATTATCGATTTTTTCGAAACCTGTGTCCGAACTCAAAAATCGGGCTCCGTCATGTCCTTACGGCAGCCATTTGCAAACTTGTGGTGAAAACCGCATGGAAATCGGGCGAGAAATGCGGCCTGGGCGAGGTAACAACGCCCACGACAGACACACAGACAGACAACATGAGAAATACAGATAGTAGATAGATAACCAAGCTATAATTATTATTATAAATTATATTAATATGTATCCCTCTAGCAGAATTAAGTGGCAAGTTCATTTGCTCTTCAAATTTCGTTTCTTGTTTTTTACAAATCCATGAAAAATCTTTCCGTTAAGAAAATTATTAAAAATTTCGCATTTCATTATTTATTCCACTGTTTTACGTCTTAAGTCATTTTTATAGCAAAATACTTAGCATTAATTTCTATTAAAGATAATATTATTGATTATCAATTTAATTGATAATCAAAAATATTTTCTTTGTATTGATATGGAACTGGATGCTTCGGTGTAATTTAATGGTTAGGAATTATGTCTGATGACCTGCTGAGTAGGGATTTCGATCCTCATTAGGTGACCAATACTCGAACTCTTCTCCCAAACTAAGATAAAATTATTTAATAACAACTTCATATGAAAGCTAATTTTCAAATGTAATTCCATATTGGTCAATATATATCTGAACATTTTAATAGAGCGTCAGCTAATTTTAATTAAAGTTTACAAAATGAAAAGCAATAACAAATAAGAAGAAAAATACAAGAAAATAAAACTTGAGCTGGCTTAAAATAATCAACATTAATTTGTTTGAATTTTAAACATTTATCAATAAGGAAATCATCGAATCAACACATTTCAAGGAACCGACAAATAATTTAATACGTTTATTTTAACTTTTAATTTACTCCAAACTGTTCAGTATTATTTGAATAAATAATAATTACTGGTTGTCCTTTTATTAGCAAGTATAATCTTTTTTCTTTCTGTTCTGTAGGTATCATCCGAAATTCTAAGTGTATGTATGAATCATCATGGCAAGCATACAAGTGCACTAACAGCAGTTACGCTATGCTGATTGTCGAAAGTCTAGATGAAGATACGGAGACGCGAAGGTTATCTCCTGTGGCCATCCTTGGAAATGGTTACCTAGATCTCATCAACGGACCTCAAGACCACGGCTGGTGTTCAGGATATACATGCCGAAAAAGACTCTCTACTTTTATGATTGTAGTTGAACTTGGTAAGACACCATTTGTGGCCAAATTCCAAATTGCGTTAATTTAATGAATTCACTAGCTAACCTAGAGACTTATATTTAGATTGTTTGTAAGGAATTGACGGACTGTTTAAAAACACTTTATTAAAATATGGGTTAATTATGCCTGTAGAAAGAAACATTGGTTTGTCAGCTTCCAGAGGTATCGGCCGCTGCTCAATTATGGTAAACATGGCTTTTTAATTTTATTGTAAATATTTCATGTCTGAATAGGAAATCTTTATTCGAATGATCAATCTCTTCATTTTCTCTTAACATCTCCGATAGCTAAAAATATGAACAGTTTCGATTTCACGCTAAGGGCAAGTAAAATTAGAGAATTCTAGATGATATAAAGAAAAAGTAAATTCCTTGAAATAAAACAAAATAAAAAATTCTACATTACTTCTTGAAGCAAGTATATAAAACATTCCGAAATTTAATCTCCTTATACGACTAAACTGGTATGCATAGGGATTTTCTAATCGTAGCATAGAGGTGGCACAAGTATGCTGCACCCAGTGAGAATCGAAATCACTATTCAGTTGTAAATGTTTCAGCGAGACAAGCTTGCTAACCATTACACCACGCTGAAATTCCCGAAGCTTGTATGTATATGATGTAAATGAATGTGAGTTTGAGTTGGTCATCTCAGAATTTACTCTTGAGTATCAAGATAATTCTAGCATATTTGAATTTTTCTGTATAAGTAATTAAAGTATTCTGTCATTGGTTAGTGTGTGGCACCATGCATCCTGACGATTTGAAAGAAATATTTATAGATATATGATTTGCTTTTTTACGGTTTATCAACCATTTGAGGATTATTTAAGGCCGAAAATATTTTTAGGTTTTAAGAATAATTCTTTTTTTGCATTCAAGCGATTTGGGAGAAAGAAAAGAAAACGAAGAAGAAAGAAAAAGAAAAAGTAATACGAGACGGGTCATAGGCGAACACACACACACACGGCTTAAGAGACGGAAATGAGGAGGAAAAAGGTTATTGTTGATAGATATCAGATGTCGAAAATATCTAGGTCACCTACGAACAAGCGTTGACCGATTTCCGTTTGTCCACGAAAAATGGAATTTTGTTATCAATGGATGTCACCAAAAAGAAGAAATCCATTGTTGAACATTGACGAAACACAGACAGTCTTCACTGGGTGTGGAGAATCAAAATCCCACACAAGTAGTTTTCACTGGCTAAGTTTTTCTTTTTGACAGAATAGATTTTTGCCCTGCGATAATGAAGATTTTTTGTTAACACATGGGCCGAAGGAAATGAAATATTTTTATTTTTGCTTTAGAGATGCCAAGTTGGCTAGGAAAATTTCTTTCTTAGGTCATGTCCAATTAGCGATAAACTGCTTGACAAACGCCACGTGTTGAAACCGAGGGTTGTCACCTCGGCCGCTCATGATAAGGGCGATTTAATTAATTTTTTTTTTAGTTAAGCCAGGTATTTCTTTCCCAAAACAAAGCCACGGGTTGTTCACGCCCGACTAAGACGTCATTGGCCAAGTGGATCACATGACGCACGAAGGAGGAGGAAAGATACCCGATCAGGACCTCATTGGCCGAGAATGGTCACGTGACGCACGAAGAAAACCAGTCGACGCCTCTATCCAGAGTGTAAGTATGAGAAGCCGATACGAAGAAGTGGGGAAGGCAGTGCACGCCCCTCAGAAGCACGGTAAGAGAGTGGGAGTGAGAAAAGAGTTACCAAAAATGGAAAAGAGTGGAAAATCCCTAACCAGAAATAAGAGGGGTAGATACGTATTTAGAATTATCGAAGAACCCCCGACGCCAAACAGACCCACCCAGGTTTTTGTCGGCGTCAATAAAAGCGAGACCCCAACCGACAGAAATCAGTTGAGACTCGGACGGCGGACCGAGTTCGTTCGACACAAGCGGGCAGAAGAGGCCAGTTCGTTTGACCTGAGTGCCGAGTTCGTTCGACCCAAGCTGGCGAGAAGAAGTTAGTTCGCGCACCTGGCGGTAGAGATGAGTGCCCAGTAGATCAGACTCTAGAGAGAAGAGTTTAGCCCCGGACGGCAGGCAGAGATGAGTGCCCAGTGTTGAAACCGCATCAATATAGCTGACCAAGATTTACGCACACTTTTGGACTCTTCTTCAACCAAGAACAAGTAGTTTGAAGAGCGACTTAGAACCAGACCACAGAAATAAGTTTTTTCGACTTTCGTCCAAAGACACACCGAAACACAAATTTCTTAGAGAGCAGACAACTTGAAGCGTTAAAACTTGCCTAGGGAAAGCGTCGTGCCACAATCCACAGAACGGGTCGGGAAGTAGACATAGTCCTATGTACCGAACAAATAGACATAAAAAGGTTGTTACCTTTTTCTTTGATACTTTGAACTTTGTGAGTTTTCATTTTATTTTATTTTATACATATTTGTGTGTTATCACCCCCGTTGAACTCAGCTTGCATTACGGCCCCAACCCCTGTTTGATCTCGTCTGTCTAAGATCAATTCACAACGTGGGTAGGCAGACTGGAGATCAGTGCAGTTACCCTGGTAACCAGGCGTTGGAAGCAGGTTGGGAACGGCGAGGCTGGTATCAATCTAACCAGATTCCTACCCGAATCACCATAGGGTTAGAACGTCACGTTTGGAGCAGCGACACCCGGATGGAGCAGCGAGGAGCGAACAGCTGACGCCGCGGCGAAGACGTCACAATTGGTGCTGCTTAGGGACGTCACAACTGGCGCCGTGGTAGATCAGGATAGAACGTCATAGTCGGCGCTGCGACCGGAGGACGACGTCACAAGTGCAAGAATCTTTCTCTTTATAAAGAAGGAAATAAAATACAGAATTATTTTACCATCATCTTTCATCCAGCGTCTCAAATATTATATCTTACGATCCTTTAGTGTAATGTAGTGGTCTGGTTGGCCATTACTATTGAGTAGTGAGCTCGATTCCCATTGGGTGCCCCATTCTTGTGGCCTTGTGCCAAACCAAACTTAGTAAATAACAAATCATATCTTTATTTTCTACTCTCGTCACTCCCCAAAATTATTAAGCCATTCTTGGGAAAACGAGACGATAGTGTAATTCCTTAAAATTATTTATTTTGTTTCTAAATTATTTTTTTTTTTTTTTGATAATGTATAAAAACAATATGATTGCATTCTCCAACTGTAACAAGATTTTATAAAGATGAAAAGTTTAGATTTCACTACGTATTTAAAAATTAATTAAAATAATAGCCTTAATGTAAGTGCGTTATCGCAGATTCAACAGGAAACAATATTGTCAATTAAAGCTTTCACAATTTAGTATTATATCAACAAAATATCGAACACAAATATATTAATATAAAAGTCAATAATCAGTTAATTTTTCTATTTGATGTACTTCTAGGAAAAATATACAATTTGTATTTCTCAAGTACTCCACCTCAGAAATTACGTCTTCATCTGCTGAACACGTACGCAAAGATCACTGCATCAATTTACTTCAGCAACCCGAACAGACTTGATGTTTATGTCGACACCCAAACCTATGTTCCTCCAAAGGACAAGAAAGACAAAACATCGTTTGGGATTTCCAACTTGGGCAAATACAAACCTTTACCTTCTGATCCGGATGGCACAAATTATTTTGACCAAGACACAAAGCAGCTCTACGTCACTATACAAGGCGACCGGCCTGTGGACATTCGGATGATACCTGTAATTGTTATCAAATTTTCTTTAAGTTCTATAACCGAAAGGATGTTCTTCGGGAAACAGTTGATACGTAATTTAGCGTTGTTTCTCGAAGTCCCGGCAAGCAAGGTCCGCATTGTGAGTATAGACAATGAGAGCAGTTCTTCCGGCAGCCGCAAAAAGAGATCAACAAACAGTGGTTTAACAGTAACGATACAGATTGGAGAGCCTCCAGTTACGAACATCACAGCAAACGGCACGTCCAATGTTACTAATAGTTCTAGCACTTTGTCGACCGGCGATTTGTCCCGCATTTCATCTCAAATAGTCAACGCCCAGCAACTGAATACATTGGGCCAAGCAATTAATTATTCGATTAGTAATATGCTTTTAACTCCTGCAGTTGTTCCAGTCAATGATCTGGCGTGGACAGCACAAAACACTGCAACGAGCTTTACAGTCAAGGTTAGTATGTTTTTATTGTATAAATGAATGTTTCACTTCTTCGTTTCTGTATTATTCATTTTATTGAAAATGTATTATTTTCTATGGAGAATGAAGATTTTCTCCCTTTATTGAAGTAAATGAGATTAAGAAATTCAAAGTATATTTCGCTCTATACTTTAGTAAGGAGAAAGGAAATAATTTGCTTCTTCATTACATAAGGAAATATTTTTCTTTGAATCATTAAGATAATTAAACCAAGGGAATAAGATAACAGAATTTAATTGTAACACCAGAATGTATATTAAATGGAATATTAAATAGAATTTGTTTCAAAAAGAGTGATGAATTGCATTTTGTTACATTAAAATATCATCAATTAATTTTCGTTTACTTTTCTTTTGGATTCGCATTAGGTTCCAGACAGTCTAAAAATCATGGTTAGCCCTGAAGCGTCATATGAAGGTGGCTTATTCAAGATCGGACCCTGTCTACGTTTTTATACTATTTTTGTAAGTGTCATTGCCATGATCTTGTGTAAATATTTTTTATTTACGTTTTGTTTGTGTTTTGATAATTTCAAACGCTTCATAAAACCAATCTCGCTTGTGCTTTATTAATGAAGAAATTAAATTGCTCAGCCCGAAGTAAAGGTAGGTATCAAGACTATAAATCAATTTTAACAACAGCCAAAAAAGTATTAATTATATATATATATAGTAAGCATCCTTTTTATCTCGCGAGATAATGGTAGCTCCCTCTTTGGTTAAATATTAAATCCTTTGCGTTTGGAGTAGCTTAACAGACCAATCTTTGCATGGCACTTTTTTCTTCAGGTATGACTGACGAAGCTTGAATGTGGAATGGATTTTTGATATTGTTCTCTGTTTCCTCCGTTGTCTTCTGATCTCCAACAGTTGGTTTCGCCTTTTCCCGGCCTTCGTGACTCCTCTTTGGTTAGCATGGCGTTAGCCGATGCGATCGCCTGCTAGCTGTTCCCAACTACCAGAGCCGATGCCTAGGAGTTTCAATTCCCTTTTGCAAACGTCCTTGAAACGTAGTGTAGAAAAGCCTACCGGATGGTGTCCCGTTGCCAACTTACCGTATATTATGTCGGTCGTCATTCATTCGATGTACGTGACCCAGCCATCAAAGGCGATGTTGACAAAGAAGACGTATGCTCCAAGAGTCTCATTAATAATTTTGTCTCTTCATGGGATGCTGAGGATACGTTGTAGGCAGTGGAGATGGAAGCTTTCTAGGTAGTTTTCTGCCTTACGTATGCTGTTTAGGTTTCACTGCTATAAAACAGAAGACTAAGGACACATGCCTGGAGTACCTTTTAATTTTGGTACGCAAGGTCAGCTGACTGTTGTTCCATACTCTCTCGATCAATTTGGCCATCAATGCTGCTGTTTGGCGATGCGTTCATCAATTTACATGTCAAGCGATAGGTTGTTGTTGATGGTAGGGCCCAGATATGTGAAGTGATCTGTGACTTCAAGCAACACGTCATTGAGGTTGATTGATGGAGATGCAGAAATATCTTTACCCATAACGTTTTTTTTATGTTAATAGTCAGCTTGAATTCCTTACAAGCAAGCTTGAACTGACTAAACAGCTGTTGGAAGTCGTGTTCGGTGTGCGTGATCAGAGCTGCATCATCAGCAAACATAATTTCTCTGAGTACTGAGTATGCACCTTGGTCTTTACTCTCAGGCAGGCCGAGATGAATAATTGTTCATGGTAACCTAACACGTTTGACCAGTAAAATTGATCAGAGACGACCCTCGAATTGAACTCGTGTAGAAGGTAAATATAATCATATGCTGAGTTACGCTTGACGACGTTGTCAAATTGAGAGTAAAACTGATCTTTGACTTCGAGCTCGGTTTGGAGTGTTGTTGCATAGATGGAGACAAGATTTACAAGACCTTCATATGTAGAGGGACATAGGGTGAGAATTCTCTCTGTGTCACCTGCTAGAGTTTCAATCATACGGAGCAGGGTAATCCTGACAGCGAATCCAATCCCATGTTCCCTACATTCATCCCCTGGCAGAAGATGTAGTGTTCTTCGTTTAGATATCAACTGTCTGGAAGTCTGGTTTCCTGTAGAGCTGCCGCGTCAGTGTTCAATCTGTCTAGCTAACGATCGATCATTACAGTCTTGCGAGAGTCATCAATTTTCTGAAGGTCATCAGATAGACCTGTGCGCAGGGTTCGCACAATTTAGCTTGCGATACGAAGAGCTGGATTCTTCGTTCTTTTTCTATTTTATTGTTTGTCTGAGTCATGGTTATCGATCTGCTAGTTAAGCTTCAGGCAAACCGTGACGCATCAACACCCTACTGTCCGGCTTGAGGCAAGTCGTAGTTGACCAATGGAATATAGTGATCACTCCCACCGTTGAAGAAAATCCATGGCGTTCAACTCCACGCCAGTTGAGCATTGGTTTATAATTCATAAAATACTGTCTCCGATGTTGTGCTCCCACTGTTTGATAAAATTGGGGTGATTTCTACTGTGCGTATATAAAGGAGACTTAAGCTGCCCAAACCACATGACCCCTCTCTCTCGACCGTACCGACAAGATCTAAAGAAATACGGGGCATTATATTTGGGACCCGGTTTGGCTGCAGGAATTGTTTAAAGGTTCTCACTGTTATCAGTCAACCGTTTTCGGGGCTCCACTCCGAATTTTCTTTCTGAACTTACTTCTATAGACTTTTCCGTGATTTTATATCACTGCAAAGCAACGGAGGTTTACAATTAGGGTTTTCCTTCCACTAGATGGACTGCCTTCCAGGGCTGACATGCTCTATCTACTCAATGTATTTGGTTATGAGGCGCCAAAGGTCTGCCTTCGCCCTTCTCCGGTTTGAAGATGGACTTAGTTCTGAACTCGAGGAAAGATGGCGCGTTTTTTCGTAACTCCAAAAAATAACGAAACCAAAATTTAACTAAAAAAAAAAAATTTCTTAAAAATCACAATTAATATTTCTTTTTCATTTATAATCTTATAATTTTGATTATTATATTTATTTGTATTTATGCATGTATTGATCATTATTTATTTCAACTTTTCCCAGTAATTTTTTTTTTTTTCTTTATTAGTTTTTGTACAGTTATCTTGAAGACCGTTTGTTTTACTTTTTGTTATTAATTGATTAGTATTTATTTTAGTAGTATAGTTTATTTTTATGTTCTAAACAATGACTTCATAATATTTTTTCTTTTTCTTTCGGATAAATTTTGCTAGTTATCAAAGTTTTCAGCCTTTGTTTGTTTATTTTATGTACGACTATATATTGTAATTTATCTTGCTTTTACGTGTTTTAGTTTTAAAAAAATTTAATTATTTGGAGCTTCTAAAACACGCAATATATGTACATTATATATCGTCTAAATGTTGACATAGCCGGGAGTGGTAATGGGGTCAAGCTACCATAATCTATAAAATGGCAACAACTATATATATATATATATATATATATATATATATATATATATATATATATATATATATATATAAGTCAAAAAATTATCCGTATTCATACGTTATGGCGAAAAATACGGATAATATTTTACTTACCCTTGTATATAATTTTGAACTGACAAGGATGAAACGAGTTGAGGATTTCATTCTGTTCATATATACAGGTCGAGGCAGAGAGGACAGACGTTTTTCTGAGTAATAGACATTTCAAAAACGTTCATCCTCTCTGCCTCAACCTGTACCTAGCTGTGTGTTTACTGATTCCAATTTTCTTCTATTCACTCTCCTCTTCCTCTCTTTTCTTCTATCCACTCTCTTCCTCCACTTTTCAACATTCTTTTATCCACTCTCTTCCTCCTCTCTTTTATCCACTCTCTTCCTTCTATGCCCCCCTCCTTCTGTATTATCATTTATTTTTCTCTCTATTTTCCTCTTCCTCCTCCCTTCTTTTTTCGCTTTTTTCTGTTCTTCTTTTTACCTTCTTTCCACCCACTCATTATATAATCTGAGATACACAAATTATATAAATGCCTATTCTTTTGTGCATCTTATTCTCATCAGTTTGTCTTTGCAAATAAATCAAGTACAAATTCAGTTTTTTTTTATTATTATTTATTTATTTTTTAGGGTGTTCCACTGGATATACTTGGCACGCCTTCAGACCCATGGAAATTAAGAGCAAATTTGGTTTATGGTAGTGGTAGCGACACAAAAGCTCTTCTCCTCGGCAAAACCGAAATAGATTTCAAAGATGGCTGGGCTAACTTTACTACTCTCAGTATTTCACACAAGGGCACAAACTACGGATTAGAATTCATTGTTGTCTACCCGGTCGCAGCAAAATTTAACGCTACCGTCTCACCGAGCCTAACTGTACCCAGGAGGCCATTAACCTTGTCTCTTACACCTAATCCACTGGGAGTTATTGCAAATAAAGACGTAGATTTGAAAGTTTTTCTCAAAGACAATGTGACTGGTGTTACGGTGCACGACTCAAGATGGCGGGTTAGTTTCATAATTTTCCGTCAATAACTTCTTTCCAATATATTTAGTATTTGGGGCAAAATACAGTTTAAATAAATAGGTTATCTTTATTAATATTGTAAGATCGAAAGATTTAAGATTTTCTTCGTATAATATCCTTCCCTGAATTATAACTGCTGAAAATTTATTTTTACTTGATATGAATCAATTTTAGGCAGACAGCAATTGGTAAGGATATGTGCGAGCACATGTTTGGAACAATACTTTAATAGGAAAGGTAAGCGGATATGCGTAAATGCAACGATTCATGTTGCAAATAATAAGTCGGTACAACTTCAAAATTTTGATGCTTCCAGTAGCAAATTCGTAACAATTTGAAAATAAAAGAAAAATATAAGAATATAGCAAATATTTTGAAATTTTAGTGAATCACAAACCATGAAAAATATTTCAGAGTATTCCATAATATTTTTAATTTCTCAAAGAAAAAATTAACCAGATTCATATTTTTATATTAGTAATTATATCATATACGATGGGGATGCTGAAAAGTTCTTAGCCAGAACCACTTCCTAAAATCTAATTTCAATTATCAAGAATCAGAATACTAGTGATGGCAAGTGGTTCGGATCAAGACCTTTTCGGTACCCACTCTGATATATGTAATTATATATTATAAAATTATTTCCAATATATAGAAATATATACGTATTATAAAATATAATACTAAAACTCTAATCTTGTATCTATCTATGTTACCGAAATACAGTTTAAAGAATACATAATACCCCAACCAATTTCGGGGCATATTGTACCTTGAACCCCTGTCGCGTGTAAGTGACAAATTCCACTAAATTTAGCCGTTTTTCTGTTTTCACGTCATTTTTCATAATAAATTCAGTATTTGTTTTCGATACACATTCTTATATCACTCCGCGTATATAAACAAACACTTGCATATTATAATATAATCTAACTATTGTGTTTGCAAAAAATAATAAACATTCATAATATATTATAACAACATTATAACAACATTACTAAATATACATAACACAACATATAATTTTATACAATTTGTGTGTCCGGAAAATTGTCACATGATATGATGGGAAATAAATAGATGCACGCTGGTTTTCCACCGTTACGTATTTTGAAATAAATGTTAGGAAGAAACAACTATATATAATAAAAATATAATTATTATTTTGAAAAAAAATACATAGAAAAAAAATTAAAGTTATTTCACAAAAGGAGGCATTCATGCTTTATTTCAATAAATCTGAACGTCCCTTCTCTCAGCAAACGATTCATGTTTGTTTTTTAATGATCTTCGACTTTGAAAATGATATGATAAATACTAAAATTGGTAAAAATTGTCAGCCGGGGCTATTATTACTTGAATGAAATGACACTTAATCTTATATCAGTTTGCAATTCTATTCTAAAAGAAAGTAAACATTTTTTACGTTTATGGGGAATGTCTTCCCCTTCTGATAAATTATTCGTAGAATAAATATATGAATTAATTATATTACTAAATTTATTTCAATGATATCATATTAATAATTTGAATATGTTGAAATTTTTTCTGTTGTTCAGGGATTGCATTTTTTCACAAATTCTGTAAATTAATTAATTAATTAATTAATTTGTTATTGCTTTTAATCTAAGTAATATGGGTGTAATAATAATTATTACAATAACTTGTATTGCAAATACAAAGTAAAATAAGTGCAATTAATAATAAAAGTTTTACCTTCAGATTTTGTATTATGAACTACATATAAAAGGAACCCAACGGGTTTATGGGTGATCTAGTTATATATAAAAGTAAAATGTGATATACTTATTTCATACGTGAAAAATTCATGGATATATTTATTTAGGTACCTCCATGAGATCACTAAAAAAGAGCAAAGCATGATGAAAAAGACGCCAAACTTGAAAAAAAACTTTTTTCAACTAAATGTTTATGTTATTATCAAAGTATTTTGGAGGTGTTTTTTACATATTTTAATCGTTCCTAGCACGTCCGAAATTTTCGTTAAAAATCTTGATTTTTTTTTTTGTTTTTTTTTAGTTAGCAAAATTGGCAGATAATCAATCATGGCAAATCTCAGTTTCAATTTTTTTTTTAAAAAATCAATTATAATTTTTTCAAAACTTATTTTAAGAAAATCAGAAATTATAATGTTTATTTAAAATATTTTGAATCCAGCATTATTTAGTTTCTGCGCTGAAAAGATGTAGTTTGAAAATTAAACAAAGCCGGTCATATTATTTCGCATCACTTGACAAGTGATGAATGACGTATTTACGGATTACGTGAGGTTAATTTGTTCTACGGAAGGAGAGAAGTGAAATTATTAAGATTTAAGTGAACAAATTATTTACCTCGTTATTTTTAAGGAAAACTTTCAGCGAACTTTTTTCTTTTCTTTTTTTCTTCTTTTTATGCTTTATGGAAAATATATTATAAAGAAATTAAAATAAAACTGTTGAGAGTGAGATTAAATTTCAGATTTCATAAGAAAGGTATCTAATTAATTTATAGGTACCTTTCTTATGAAATTTTATCAGAAGTGTACATAAAATACTATAATTTTATGTACATTTATTACATTTTACTGTGTTATTTGTATTTCCATTCAATTTATTATTAATTTTGATATTTCATTTATGGAAAAATGTCATAACTGAAATTAATATAAAAATAAGATCATATAAATTTCATAAGATGATACTGATACTTGTAGGTACCCTTCTCAGTTGAAATTGAAAAATCAAATTAACTTCTCGACAAGTGTTTCACAAAAGTAAAGGCCTTTAACAGAGGAGAACAACGCTTAACTCAAATAACGCAACTTAATTGTATTCTGGTTGGTCTTCCGTACTTTATAATTACAACCCGATTACAAACATAAAATTACATTTCTTAATTACTGTGGGTCTTCTGATTAGTCAAAACGATGCAATTTACAATGTGGTAAAAAAAATCTATCTCATAAGGACACTTCCGAAGCGGTTTTTAACTAATTTTATAATATTTTAACACCTTAAATGTAAAAATCTATTATAATTAAAGAAATAACAAATAATTGTATTAAAAATTCATTTTTCATCGAAAAGTTTTTTTGCTTTCAGAAAATATTGTCCATATTCATAAAAACAACTAAAAGCAAATAAAAGCATTTGAAATTAAATAATATATTTGTTTTATTGAGTTTTGTATGTTACAATTCAGAGCTGATTTTCAGGTAGGAGGGTCCAATTAAAAAAAATACATTATTTGATTTCCTCAAAGCCTTGTGCTTTTAACTAATATAATCACTAAACTGAATGCGACTGAATTTCTAGAGTTTTCATAAAATTATTTATGGGGAGGGGGGGAATAATATAAAAAAATATTTTTCTATGATTTTAAAAAAAGAAAACATATTTACAATATTTTCCATCATTTGTGAATAGTTTCTAAAAGTTTCATTAACATCCGACAATTATTTTTATTTTTGCAAGATTTTCCAAATTAATGTCTGTCTTAAATAAAATAAAAACATGCTGAAAATTTGTTATTTTACTAGCTGACATGGAGGTACCTATATTCACTATAACAGCGTAATTTTAGCGTTTTCTTTTTTATTTACATAATTTTCTTCGTTCTTACTTGTATAAGTTTATATTGCCATTATGTTAACACGACGTCCCGTCGCTTGCAACGAATTTTTCTCACTCTCAGTTATGAGAGTAGCCTGCTAAATATTGCCCAACAAGATATTCTATTGTTATGAACAGAGGAACAAACGAAACATATTATCTAAACAGATAATTTAGATACGTAATTATATTTAGTAGATACTTATATATTATTGCATCAACTTCTTTTTCAGGGCCATTCTTGGATTGCAACTGCCGTCTTAATTATGCCATTTCTTTATCGAGGACAAGTGGAAAACCTAGGAAATGAGGCTACCTACGATTCTACCGACAACTGCATGGTGTTCAACAAGGTTTCATTTTCTAAAGCTGGCATTTATATACTGAAAATTACGATGATCTCCACTCCAAAAGAATATACCATTGTTCGAGAAGAGGAAGTACAGGTGTTGTCGAACATACCAACAGCTAACACTAATACGATAACGACTCTTATCAAATTAATGGTCGATATCGATTACCATAAAATCGAAAATGGCAATGTAAATTATTTCCGTGTGCTCATGATCAACTATTTCATGTATAAATTCCCGGAAGTACACTTCAAGAATGTAGCTGTGTCGAAATCTGATAACGGTAAGTATAAAACATTGTTTTTGTGTGTGTGTGTGTGTGTGTGTGTGTGTGTGTGTGTGTGAAATTATTTTATATTTTTTTACTGATGTAAACGGCGACAATCTGTTTCATGCTTGAATACAGTCTTCACACCATCACATGAGAATACATAATATGCTGGACGGTTTCCCATTTCAACTCCTTATGCTTCTGTAAGGTCTGTTTTGCAACATGCTGTCTTGCTTTGTCGTGGTGGAAAATTACACCTCTTTGATTTGCCAAAATCAGACATTTTTCTTGAATATCTGTACGGAGATTGACATATTTTCAATTTCTTCGGCTGGAAGAAGCTCAAAATGACTTATCTCTTTGCAATCACACCAAATGTACAGAGCAATACCTTTATTGAATGTAAGCCTACCTTAGCCCCGGGTTCTGCACAATTACAATCTTGTTTCCTGTTTACTTTGCGTCGAATATTATCATAAACGATTTTTTCATTTGTGATAATTCTGTCAAAGAACGGCTCCTTTAAGCTCGGAAATTGCCACAGAAACACGATCGCACTTGTTCTGTTACATCAGAGCATGTGGCATCTGTGTGTTGTGTTTGGTAACGAACAAATGCGAACGACAATTGAAATATCGATTTTCAAACTCTTAGCAATCTCTTCCGTCAAAACTTTCGGTGTATTCTCCACTATGGCAAACAAATCGACTTCATCAAACATCGTAAGATCACCCGGTGTGTGGTTGATCGTTTAAGTTAAAATAAAACTGACAAAATTTGCCAAACCACTTTTTGACCGTTCGAAGAGTTGGAGCATGAATGTTGTTTTGTTTTTTGTTTTTTTGTTTTTGTTTTTTGTCACAGTTCCGATGCTTACTTCTCAATAGAGCATAATATGGCGAAAATTCAACTTTTCATCTCCTATTTTATAGCATTCATTTGTGGGCAAAACGTTAACATTCAACAAAGTCCCTACTCGCAACTGGACGATGCAATCGGCACCAAAACAAACACCAATGTCAAGTTGCGGTCATTTATATTAACAATGAAAATCGGACAGGTGTTTTGCAGTGATCTGATATTTGGTGCAAGTCTCATGTATGTGATCAGTATCTATACATACTTACACTGCCACACCTGTTTTTGAAAAAGAGACACGCGTGTGATTATCGGTAAGGTAGTATCGTTTTCGCATGTATATAACTATAAGGCTATAACTCCTTATCGATGAGTACACTATAGAAATGACTACGTAGAGGAAACTTGAATGGAGAAATGGTTAATTTTAATAACGATCTAAAACAATGCCATAAGGTGTATAAAAACCAAAAAAATAAAACAGCAAAATAAAGTTGAGAATGAACCACATAAACAGTCAATGAAACAAGTTCGTCCATAAAGAATACAAGAATAGGTAGGTATTATTGTCTATGATGAGGTGATCTGTTGGGAGCTGTGACGATTACTTTTTTAACCACAATCAATCATGTGGAATATATACAGACCACAATCAATTAAGTACCTCTGAAAAAAAAACGTGTAAAACTTGCCAGAGTTCTAAAGAAGTTGTACAACATGAAATTGAAAGTTATTCCCGTCAAAAAGCCTCTGGTTAAACAACTAAAATAACTGAAAAACAGGGAAAAGAGTTCCAACTATCCAAGTAATGGAAATATTGAAAACATCTAGAGTACTGAGAAATGTACTAGGCTATTAATATTGATTAATATCAGGATAGTTTCTAGAAAGAGCAGCACATTACATGACTACGTCACATATTTGAAAAGGAGATAAATGCAGTCTCTAAAATTAACTTCTAGTGTCAGACATTAAAGTAGAATAAAAGAGTCATTAAAAGTTGCTATAACGAAACGCAGTCAATCAGCTAGACAGCCCGGGACAATATGGTGTAAAATAGTAATTGGATTAACAACAAACTCTGCGGCAGAAGAAAAAAAATATTCGGAAAACGACCGAAGAATGGAGTAACTTTAATTTTATGGATTAAAAACAAGAATAATAATTATAGTCGAATAAATATTTTAGTCACAGTTTATCTCGAAATTTCAAATTAAAATTTGAGAAATATGCTCATTTTTTTATTTAAAACAATGGCGTGAATGAGCCATTCATTAATTCTCGTTGTGGATGTTTCCACATATTTTAAACATCAGTTAAAAGTATATCTTGAAAAAATAAATGAAAAAACACCAAAAATGATAAAAACGGTAAATATAAATGAAAACTGATAAATGAAAAAGCGTAAAAAGTGATAAAAACATAAATATAATTGAAAACTTAAAAATTAAAAAGTGCAGAAAGTGATATATACCACAAGTATAAATGAAATTTCAGAAATAGTTTTTCGGCCTGATCCATTTCACAAAATCGGTATTTCAAACATCAGAAATTTTAGGAGCTAAAGAAACTTAAGGGACGATGTTCCAAGTGTGTCGATCTGCGGAGTAGATATATGAAAGACAATGACTGAATTTTAAACTATCAAATTAAACCTTTCTTTTAATTTTGATCTAAAAATCTTATCCTAATTATCTGATCTTTTAGGCTCATCTATTTGACTGTTAGGTTTAGTTTACATTCACGTAAATAAATGCTTGCATTGAAAACATAAAGACAGACAATGTAAGTTTACATTTGTTCTACTACTCGTGTTTGATTATACCTGTATTTTGAATTTTGCCTTTAAAGACTTATTGTTGATCTTACTCATGCCGTAAAAATAATATTCTTCTAAGTCCTTACTATTATTGATATAAGTTTTAAATATATTTTCTAATTATTGTCAATCTTTCACGCACTCCACCTTACACTTCCTGGCTACAGAAACATCTTGGAACAATCCACCATTATATAACATCTTGGAACAATCCACCATATATATATATATACCATATATATATATATATGTGTGTGTGTGTGTGCATGTGTGTGTGTATGTGTGTATGAGAGAGAGAGTATATTTTTCGCTCCATTTCCTTAGAATAAGTGATTTTTATCTAATTACCCTTTCATAAAAATTCCTAAGCATAAGACTGATTTCTCATAATTTTGTAAAAGTTCTTGCTTTCTAGTCTCCCAACAGCCATCTATTACTTGTCTTTTTTTATCGTTTTTATTCTGTGAAGGAAAAGTGAACGTACATATGGATATCTATGGGCATGCTGACGCCGTCATATCAGCTTCAAAATCTCTTTGTAATATGGCCGAAAATCAAGAAAGACTCACTTTTCAATCGGAAGAAGCGTACATTGTGTTTAGTACCCAAGTGAATGGTACACGTTACCTGGAGTCGAATTGCGGAGATTTGGTAAGTCAGATTAAATGAGTTCAATTTATAACCGTAATCTTAATTCTTAGAAATCATTTCACCTTGTCATTAGATATTGTTTAATGTTCATAGATAAGTTGAATTAATTTAACTTCTACAGGGAATGATGAATTTTTGATTGAACACCAAACTCTGAATTTTCATCTATATTTGCTGTAGTTGTTTGGACTAGACGAATAAAATCACAATAATTTCGTTCTCTGTTCATTAAGTTTTTATGTTATTGTTATAATTTTTAATACTGACTTAATAACTTTTGTCTTACTTTTCTAGAAGGGCAGAATTGTTTCAAAGAATCCGTTTCCCGTGGAAATCATTATTGGCGTGTCTTTTGCGGTGATATTTCTCCTTTTTGTAACAATTATATTTCTGGTTTGGCGCTTCCAGGTCGTTCCAAAAGCGAAGATTGATGGTAAATGCATTTGAAATTTTCTAAAATGTTTGTAGAGAACCGGGGTGGGGGGTATTTACGAGTTGTTGAATTAGAGACACGTGCTGTTTATTCCTGCTAGAAGAATGTCCAACTACAAGAAAATGTTGGATTTAAATTGAGTCCGACCGAAGATGTAAAGAAGACAAGCAAGACCGATATATATATATATATATATATATATATATATATATATATATATATATATATATATATATATATGTCAAGAAATATATGTATTAACAACAAATTTACAAGTGACAAAGACATTAATATTTGTGTTTGTGTGTGAACAATAAAAACTTCGTATTTTGGTGAATGTCCGTACGTACATGTATGTGTGTTTAATGTGGGGAGACTCTTTTCTTCTAAGAGACCTTACATTGTAGATGTCTTCGCTGAAATGAAGAAATGAAGAAGATTATTTATTTCTGTGCTATAACAGAAAATGTGGCACAAGGCCGAAGTGGGGAATGGGGAAGTGGTCGGTCTTCTGTCTTAACTTCTAAACTTAGCTAGCCACAAACGCTGACTCAATCATACTAACAATATTTCTTGCACCAAAACAACACATTCTTACTTACCTATCTCACCACACTCACCTCAATGACTCCAGGAAAATACTAACTAGACCCCATACGTACAATTCGTGGTCTGTGGGGAGAGGGGATTAAAACAACAATTTAAATTTTTTTTAAAAGTAACCCCAATGAGTATTTACAGTATGAAACAAATAACTATTTACAAGAAACTAAACGAAATCGTGTTAGTAATAAAAACCCCACAATCACTAAATGTGGCAGAAACATCAGTTAACGAGACGAAATTAATGCGGGACTATAAGAAATTAAAAACATTCATTCATTCCAAGAACTCGTGCAGACATGCACTCATTCAGACACAACAAAAAATACGAAAAATCACAGCCGAAACGAAAAAACTCCCCGCATCCACCAGAGAACTGACGTCACTGACCACCTAACGAGGGAGGGGATGGGGAATTAAACTTAAAGAAAGATAGAGACAGAAATGAAAGGGGCCAATGAGCATACATACCTTAGCTAAGTTTACTGAAAAAGGAAACTAAAGACTCAAAAAACTAAACCTAAGCTAACCTAAATTTTGGGGTGGGTTGCCCGTGTTCAACCCAGCTAAAGCAATATCCTGATGCCTAACCGGCATCAATGTGCCACTCTATGTCAGCCCCTTTCACACGACACAAACGCGCAAGATTCACCCACCTTTTGCCGAATTCAGATGAAGTGAGTCTCCGCCTTTCCAAACTAATATTGACCTTAAGCTGATGCTTAAAGTACAAGATCAGCTAGGAAGAGGTAAACTTCTCGCCTCCATAGAATCCATTCTGACGTGTCGTCCAAATCACGACTCTCATAACACCTAGTAAGCATAAGAACACATAGTGTTCAGCCCTCGTCAACGGCGGAGCCACATTGCTACAGAAGCGGCCTCAAGGACAAAAAACTTTCCAGGTAGCATGCGAACCATGAGGCCTTCAACATACTTGCACAGCGGTGCTACCACAAAGCAATGATAGAAGGCGTGACCAATGGTCTCGACCTCCCCACTACAGCGGCGCCAGTTTGGATATTTCTCCAAGCCCGCTAAGCAAAGTCTTTTGGCGACCCAGAGGGCCCCACGCGTCACCAGCCAAGTGAGTGATGCCTCATTGTTATTGAGACATTTCAACCCGGGCGCCCAAGGCCATATCGAGCGAGCCTCCCGCTTCGTAAGACGGAGTTCGTCAATCAAATCATCATGAACGGCCCCCCTAACTAACACCTGATATAATGTCTTACGAGACAACGCCCGGGCGTTGGAGAGGCCATCCAACGCCCATAAGAGTCGTTTCAGAGCACGACGACATTCACGGTAGAAGGAGCATTCGGCTTTGGGTAAACGGCCGAGTGCACACTTCTCAAGGATGGGAAGTTCTTACGGGCGTCTTCCTTCCAGAAGGCGCCCACCTCATCCGGTTCGCGACACATTCGATCAAGGAACCCGATGCTAAGCATATGTTGACGAATCTCAATGCTAGGTATACCTAGACCGCCTTCAGATGGATGAAGGCAACAGATCTCCCGAGAGACTCTGGCAGCCTTGCCTCCCCACAAGGAAAACAAGAGCTTCATTAACGCCAGTAAAGTGTCAGACGGAAGTGGAAGCACCGAGAGTCGGTAAAGGAGAATCGGGTATATGTATGAAACACATACTTCCGCCCTTCCCTTTAAGGAAAGATTCCTCCGAGACCACAAATTAATTGCGATCTCGGCCTTCCCTTGCACCTCCGACCAATTCATATCCAACTGGAGATCAGGACCGAACCAGACGCCGATAATCTTGACCGGCCCATCCGTCCAGAGGAAAGGTCCGGGAAGAGAAACTCCCTTCCACGCACCCAACCGCAAGCCAACAGACTTATCGCGGTTGATCTTGGCCCCTGTCACCATCTCATAATCACTGATTTCTTTGCTGACTTCATTAATCTCGGCCCTGCTCAACACAAGAACCGAAACGTTATCAGCATAGGCGGAAATCCTGGGCGCGTTGGTAGCGCCTGGTAGGGAAATTCCGCGTAGGTCCAGATTTGTCTTTAACTTGCGAAGGAAAGGTCCCAACGCAAGAACGTACAGCAAAGGCGAAAGCGGACAACCTTGACGAATGGAGCGAGAGAATACGAAAGGCTCCGATCGTACTCCGTTCACCTCCACCAGCGCACAGGGGGTCGCATACAGAAGTCGGATCCAGGTGCGAAAGTACGGCCCGAAACCGGCCGCCGAAAGAACAGCCTCCAGAAAGAGATGGTCAACCCTATCGAAGGCCTTCGACTAATCTAAATTGATCAGCGCGGCTTCACTGTCGACTTGCTCGATGATCAAGCGTACCATATGGAGGTTGTCCTGAATAGTCCTGCCCTTCACAGCACAAGTCTGTTCAGAGCTAATCAGACTAGATAGGACAGCCTGCAAGCGGTTCGCTAAGACCTTAGCCAAAATCTTTAACTCTGTATTTAACATAATTAAAGGGCGAAAGTTACCTAACCCATCCCCACAGTTTTTATCCTTACGTAACAACTTGATTACGCCACTGGTGAAACGTTGAGGTATAGACCCCTGCTTCAACCAGTTGCCGAAAATCAGTGCCAGCAAGGGTACAAAACGGGCGACTGTCTCAAGTACACTTCGTACGGAAGACCATCTAATCCCGGAGATTTGTCCAGGCCAACCTGTTTCAGCACATCCCAGATTTCCGACTCTGTAATGGGACCCTCGCACCTAGCCGCTTCAGCTGCCTCAAATAGGCGTCAAACCGAGCTGGACTCAGACCGGGCTTCCTGGTGAAAAGTTCATGAAAATACTCACGAAAAGCCTCACACATGCCCTCGTTTGTAGTCAAGTCCGCTTATCCGGCAATGTAACGCTATGCCGCCGAGATGCACTCCGAACCTCCTCTGCACGCAATTCAGCGGCCATATTCGTTGCCTTCGGAGACATTCTTTTTAACCTAGCCCTAACTACCTTGATCCTTCTTGATAAGCAAGGAGGCCAACTCTGCCTTAGCTAAGGCTACGTCCCCACTATCACGGGATTTAATCGCCCGATCAACCTTTTGCTCACAAGCCGTTTGCGACGCTAATCTATCTAGATTGAGCCGACGACTATAATTAGCAGCAAACGTTCTAATTTTAGATTTAAGATTATCCCACCAGGCATTTCCCACCACAGTCCCGTCAGCTCCCTTTGTATCATTAGTAGCAGCTGGTCCCGGAAATCTTGCTCCCCAAATAATGAGCAGTTCAATTTCCAGTAACCAGCCATCTTAACCTTAGGCTTATCTAAGTTTACCCGGACCCGGACTAGCCTATGAACCGAATAAACTATATAATGGAAACTTGGACACCCTAAGAGCCCTACATCGACTCTCCTAACTAAGATTCGGTCCAGGTAGCTAGAAAGCAACCGAGCTGCCACTATTACGAAGGTGTTCATTTCGGTATTTATCGACAAGATCAAACTTGTCGATAAAGTCCCGAAATGGTTTCACGTCCGGGTTGTTAGTACCCAATTTTGACCCTATACGATCTATATCGGGGTCAAGGACGGCATTCCAATCCCCCGCTAAAACTACCCGAAACAAAGCAGGCCGCTCAAAATGCTTATTGGGCGCATAAACCCCAATGAGACGTAAAGCCTTATCCTTTATGGTAACATCCAGCACGCAAAGTCTGCCCGCCGGATCTGCGAAGACAAGAGCACATGCAGCCTTCAAGGACTTGCTCACCAGCCAAGAGACACCCCTCGATCGTCCATCATAACATGCTGAAAAGAGGGAAAACCCTCTAGACAGAATGCTGTCATGATCACTAGAAGAAAAACGGGTCTCTTGCACACAACATACACCCCGAGACGCTCAAGGTCACGATAGAGCCTCGCCATTCGAGACTCGGACCTCAGGCCACGGGCATTCAAACTAGCTAACCAGAGAGACATTGTCAAACCGATTAGGGTCGCTCTGCTGAATTAAACATGGTCGGAGAAAGGATACCGACCGCCTCTCCCATCGACCCATGGCCCATCTCAGTTTGGATGGTACCGTCTTGGGAGAGACCGCCGACATCCCAAGGGATGGTAAATTTTAGTGCTCTATAGAGGGAGGGGTGAACGAAAATAGGGACCCGCCCAGCACAAAATTGTTTTAGCTTTTTTAGCTTGTCGTTTTGTACTATCGCTATGGGAGGCGTCATTTTGAAGGAGGCTATTGCCTCATCCAGCATTGCCCAAATTTGACGCGCTTCCGTGCCAGTTCTGATGACCGTCAAAACCCGTTGGGCCTTAGGGAAGACTGACACGATTCGTTTCTCGATCTTCTCCAGTCCTTTGGGGTCCTCCAAGAGCCCGTCTTTCACGACAAGGTGTGCGTAACTCTTGGTACGCTCCAAGAACTCCGCAATATCGATTATACACTTCGGGGGGGGGGGACTTCCAACAACAGAGCAATTCCCCGGCCTCTGTTTTATCACTGGTATTATTATTTGATGCTGATATTTGGTCTCCTTCTTGGCCCTTATTGGCCACTGTACTTCTTTTTTTTTTATTTGGGCCATTTTCGGCCACCGTACTTTTATCGGAAATGCCATTATCGGCTTCCATACCTGTTGCGTCATTGACATTAACAGCCTCCTGATTATCGGGGACTAATGCCGGGTATTCTTTGGGATCATTCTTATCGGGTGGGGGGTCTTTTTTAATGGAAAACAGATGTTTTCTTACTGACCTCCTAAGGACGGCTACTTTGGGTTTCTTCTTTATAATTAAAAAGGAAGGGACTCTTTTTCTTTCCATTTTCAATAGAGGGGGAGGGGTGATAACTAGGGGGAAAATATTAAGTTTCGAAAAAAAAATATTAAAACAAACAAGATTCGCTTAACAGCGGAACAATAAAATTAATAAATACAAAAACAAGGTTGGCTCGTGAGCGAGACTACAAATTCACAAAACAGAAGGACGTATAATAAAATGAAATAGACAAGGTTCGCAAAACAAATGGACGTACAAGTGAACATTGTTCGCCCAAAGGCGAAACTACAAATTTACAAAACGACAAAGGACGTACAAAAAGATGAAACAGACACGGTTCGCCTAAAGGCGAAACAATTTAAATAAACAATTGGACGTAAAGTAAACAAAGTTCGCCCAAAGGCGAAACTACAAATTTACAAAGTGACAAAGAATGTACAAAAAGATAAAATAGAAAAAATTTGCTTATTAGTGATAAGTAATATTTAGTATATATCGTCAGCAAATTTTTATGTGAAAGTTGCGTTGTAGAATGTATTTCGGACAGTGGGTCGTCCGAAGATTGCGTCTCGTAGAATGTATTCTACGGACAGTGAGTCGTCCGAAGAATATTTCACACTTAATCTCTTCAGCGTATAAAACTTTTGTGTATTAATGGCATGGGAAGCAATGTTGAAATGTTGATAAGCAGTGGTGTGAAATGTCGCACGTGGTGTAGAATATGTTTAAGCATGTCTGCCAGGTGAAATTAGGTCAAACGTCACCGCAAGAAAGAAAAGGCCAAGCAAAATAGACAAATGGGGAGAAGGTGCCTGTGTACTGTTGCCTGCTGAACAGTAGTCATTGCTAGTATTGTTGCCTACTTGTAGTAGTCATTCTAGTGGCGATTAAGACTTTCCACGTGTTATAGAAAAATTCTATTTGCCGCGCCGGAGAAAATGTGTTTTGTATAGACATATTGTAGCGAATTAAATTGTGATTTTGCACTTTCATCTGATCTAATCACAAATTTTGTTGCTGCATAAAAGTTGTTTTTTGGTTAATAGTGTCTGGCAGGCGTATTAGTTTTTCAATGTTTTTCCTGACTGGCTTTCGTTTGGAAAGTGTGTGTAAATGTGAGTTTGTACATATATACAGTATTGTGTTTGTTAGTAGGAGTTGAAAAATCACGTCGGGAAGTCACCAATTTGTAGAGGACCGTGTGGGTCTGCGAGTGTTGTTAGATTAGGAACACGTGCTGTTTATTCCTGCTAGAAGAAGGTCCAATTACTAGAAAATGCCGGATTCAAATTGAGTCCGACCGAAGAAGACAACAAGACCGATATATATATATATGTGTGTGTGTGTGTCAACAAATATATGTATTAAACAACAAATTTACAAGCGACAAAGACATCATGGGGAGACACTTATCTTCTAAGAGAGCTTACACTGTAGATGTGTTCGCTGAAATGGAGAAATGTAGAAGAGAACGAGACAAGAAGTTGCCCAGTATTTATAATGTAGGTAGAGCGACCCCTAGTGAACAATTAGGGAATTAAGGAGGAGCTAACTCAGGCAGGTTCATTGAAAAATGTTTTGTTTACTATTGTATTTTGTTCTGAAACAAACATCTTTTTCTTTGACTTAAAACATTTTTCTTCTTGATTCTTTCACTGTTTAGAAAAATTCGGAACATAAATGTAGATTTTTACAGAGACGTCGGTTTAAGTGTCTGCATCAGTACAGTTTCTTTTAATGAATCTAATCGAAAAAAAAGTGAAGTTGTTAGCCTCTCAGAATAATGATCGAATATTCTTTTACAGATTCAAGTCTTTGTCGCCAACCTTCACCAAAAGAACCTGTCTACATTGCCCAAGTTAAAAATCCTACTAAAGACGCGGATATGTGAGGATGAATTGAGAAAAGTTAGTATTTTGTATGGATTCGGTTAAAACAAAAACATTTTGTGATGGGGTAGTGTGAAATTTACATTCCTTTCCACAAAAACATGGTTGGTAATGGTATTGGTTTTTATAGAATTACTGCATTATATTATATAAGGTTAAAGTCTATATAAAATATTAAAAATGTGTAATTTTTAAAAAACTGGAGTTTCCTTTAATATTGATTCTTTTAATTTTTATACTAAAATGAATTTAATATTTATCATTTAAAATTTAAGATAGTCGCTTTGAAATGACTGTGTAGTAAATTTCCGTCAAAACTTACTTTAGAAGTCAAACCTTAAGATTGTAATCTATTTTAAAAACATTTGATATATTTATGCTTGGGGTATCAAAAAATGAACGGAATGAATTGCAATTTCATACATAACTTGTTCACTGACCAAAGCTCTACAACATTCTCAGGCCTCTGAGTTATGATGACATGCATAATACAGAACCTATACTAACAATGATAACATACAAGGTGCTGTACATTTATATAAAAAATGATTATTATGATTATTAAAAGTCATGAATGTAGAAGTACAAAGTTTCTATGTAGGGGGGTGCAAGAGAGAGATGGTGTTGCGATCCCAAAGTTGTTGAAATGTTCTAACTCGTCTTTTTCATTTTTTTCAGCTGATGACGTGATTAATTCCACGATTATTATAATGAATGTTGATTTAGAGACAATGGTAATTAATATCATGCATACAGATCAATAGACAGCAATAAACGTGCACACACACATACACACACACACTATAAGCGAAACTGAAGATTTGTCAAAATCTGTATTACTAAAAACTAAAATCTGCATAAGCGTGGAAAATTGCAGAAACACACACAAACGTATAAAAACGCTTTCATTTCATGACTTTTATACGAACCCAATGATAAATCAGTTAATTACATTCATATATATATATATATATATATATATATATATATATATATATATATATACATTAAATAATCAAATGTCCTTTTTACACGTATTCAGATTTAATTTGGGGATCCCTTTATTAATCCATTTAAGCACTTACGTTAAAATTGAAACAAACATACACATATTGCATAAAGAGATTGTTGTAACTTGTGTGCCACCAACAGTCAAATAGTCACATTTGAAACTTCTCCTATATAACGTGTGTCTCTTTTTTTTACATTTTCTTACATATCACGCATATATATTTTTCTTCGAAAGTATTGTGTTAAAATTTTTACAATGTGATATGAAGGTTCTCTCATTATTAAAACTACATACTCTTTGTGTGTTCTTCAAATTAAAAATGTAAATCGTTGATCTTCTTAATTGTAATTAATCTTCATACATTCTTAAGTTTGATTTTGCATCAAGCGATTTTACTAGGCGTTTTCTAAATTACAAAAATAAAATAAATGATCGCCAGTGTAGAATGCCAACGAAATATGGAAGCTGTTCATGTATTTTTTTCGATGTATTTTCAGAAATGATATTCACTAAAACTTCATCACAATACAGTAAAATTTGGGTATTAACAAATTATATATGGTATACTGTTGTACGTTTGTTATTGCATATGAATAAACTCTACAAATTTTTATCTTAATGTTTTCTTTGACATTATTTTTGTTGTTGTCACCTTTGTGGGATTTCTTTTTTTACTTTATTTACATTGTTTTAATTAAGCAATGAAAAATACAAGTAATAATCAAACACTAAAATAAAACGTCTATATTTCTGAGATGAGGTATTGTAATTATTTACATTATTTAGATTCTTCGGACTTGTCCTCATCTTTGTTGCCATATTCACGACGTTTCAGGCGTTGTGCGCTCCGACCATCTTCAGGTGATTGGAATTTCGAACCGGACTCTTTATTCAACAACCGGGGTAGATTGTTCTATTTCCACGCGCCAAGCCTCTTCCGGATATCTCAGTATCCCTTTAACTCAACTGTCCAAGTTATTGTTCATGTCTGCTGTAGCCAGATATTGAACTCACAACTCTTTGGATCGAGTCACTGGATTACTTACAACGCTTTTATCCACTGAGTCATATATAGTTTTATAAGTCCCCAAAATTCATGCATTGATGTCCTCAAGGATTCGGTTCGAAATTCCAATCATCTGATTACAATGGCGTACAATGGCTGAAACATCGTGAATATAGCAACAAAGATGAGGACAGGTCAATAAATGAATAAATAAATAAAATAAAAAATAAATAGATAAAAATAAAGCCTTTCACAATACTTTACATTATAATTTACATTTATTTGGCAAGGTATTTTCTTCAAAGAATGTTACGGAAAACTATTGGTAACTAGTGTATATAAATAAAAGCAAGAGTAAATCCACTTAACATCCATTAACTATCTTCTTCTGTTGCCAAGGTCATTTACGTAACTAACACGACAGATAGGAAGTAATGAATATAAAAAGTAGGCGTGAAATACTGACACTTTTTCCCGCTCTCGGACACCGATTACATGAAGTAAATACCCCAGATAGGAAATGCCTCTCCTTCGAAGGTGTATTTCGAAATTCTTCTGATATATTCACCCTTTTGAAAAAGGCTACATTTTGTGAATTCATGTTACTTCCTTGAAGAGCAGCGTTTCTAAAACAAGAGCACGTTTGTCCACCGTACGAATACACAATACACACACATATTTTCTTGCAGCAGAACACTTGTTAATTTTCCCACACATTAACACATTGAATGCGTTAAAAAATATCTAAGTAAATATGTTTATCGGTAATTTCGAGTGGCACATTCCCCAAAATATTTAAACATGTCTACCTTTTGGTGTAACAAAAACTTGATATTTCGCATTTAACCCGTGAAATTCTCCAGATACAAGTGGTCGTTCATTAACACTCCTAAAATATCGGAGGTATCCGTTTATCTGGAATATAATTTGCAGGACATCGATGACATTGTTGTTTTTTGCATTGGTTGCTTTCATGTAAATGACTTCTCACCATCAAGAGTGGTAATCCATAACTGCAAGTATGTAATTTCATTCAGACATTCAATATATCAATGGTGATATAGGTTCGAGGTTGATCAGGCAATTATGTGCCTTTAGCGCCATTGGAGAGGCACTCTTACCAACTATTTGGCCTAAGTAGCATGCTTTCACTTTTCTTGCTGTCATATACCACACCTTGCATCGGAGGTGGTTTTCACTTCTAATCATTCCTTGCTGTCCTTTCTTCTACTCCTTATGGCGATGTGTCCTGATATCCAGAACTCGTCTTTGACTATCTAGAAAATCGTTTCCTTAGAAATCGTATATTTGGGGTGGGGGCTTAGAGTAGTTGGGATATGTTAGTGCCATTTTCTGATGCCTCCTCCACTTCTCGGGAAATTAAGGTATGAGTTGGAGAATATTTGACCATATAATATTGGAGAAAAAGTTTCCGACATGGTAAGAATGATGAAAATAAGACAAAAATAAGGGAAAAACTCCGCACTGTTATATGATTTAAATAAAAAATATTTTTTACAATTCACATTTATAACAATATTAAAAATGGTAAATACAATATTTTTTAAACATTCCTAATAGCCTAAATAATTTATACCATAAATTTTAAGTTTTGTGTTAAAATCATTGTCTATAAGTAGAAATTATTACGCTTATTCTCGCATGTTTAAGATTTTTTATCAATTAAAAAAGTTCTCACTTTGCAGTACTAAAAAATAAGAACTAGACAAGACATCCCTAGACACAGGCAGCAGAATGAGAACAATCTACTCATGTAAATTAAATAAAGGGTTCAGTTCAAAATTCCCTGTAGGTTACCTGGATTGACATACACCTGATGAAGTCTGGAGAGTATAATGGGCAAAACATTGTGACAAAGATGAGGACAATAGTTCGCATATAAATAGTGAAAATAAGCATATTAATTAACATGTTTATTTTAGATTCCAGATTGTCAAGATTTAGAAAAAAGTTATTAAACGTATTAGGGAAGTGAATAATGCATTCAGCTCTTCAAGTAACATATCTTCTTTTAAATTCAAAGTAAATGAAAATCTAGCATTACCACAACAAGACTCAGATCAGGGTTTAGAAATTGCCATCAAATTTAGAGAGCAGTCATAAGATAACCCGCCCAGAGGTAGAAGGTATTTAAAAAATAGTATATTTTTAATGGCCTAGGTAAACATATGAATTCTTTTATGACTACTGGGAATAAACTTAAGTATTGTTCCATAGAACCCTGGTGGGAGTGGTCTCATCTTGTCTTCTCTTGGCCGGTGATTGCTAATTATTTTGGTTCAGCAATATAAGACTGCAAGCAGAGAATTTTAATTATTTTTATTACTCATGTACATTATTTAACTATACAGTCATGGTTGCCCCTGCCTACGCCGGGGAGCTGTTTTGGACATGAAAGAGAACACATCTACATTGCTTGATGGGTAAGAAGCAATTTCTGAAACCTTTCTTATCTTTTACACGCTAGCTCAAAATCGACTTCCCTATTATGGCTCACATCTGACCCTGAATGTCAACCTCCGGAACTTGGAGCTGAGATAGACTTCCCCTAAAAATTCCTGCTAAATTATTATTTAACAGTATCAGTTTACTTTGCACAAAAACTTTCATGATTTTTCAGATATTTGTGTAATGATTTTATGAACCTCCAACATGCCCCTCTGAGAGGTATTCTTTTGTCACTACTTGCTTAGCAAAAAGATACCTTTCCTGGTTTCATTATTATCAAAATAATATGCACAAATCTTTCAAGCCTTGGTACAAATCACAAGACAATCACTGAATTTACTATTGACAGCATCATTTGCAGAATCCAATCCCATCTTTTGATGGTCTTGTAGCACAGAAGTTTCATAATGCAATTCCCTCCTATTACTGCTTTGTTCAAATTTTCATGAGAAGTGACCCCACACACAAATTGATTTTGTTTAGAGGATGCCAGGTCCCAAGTTTCATGCAGTAACCAATAATAGAGGTGGAAATTGAGGCAGGTATATAGCTTTTTTATCAAATAATCAACTTGTTTCCTTATGTACTTTAAAGTAAGAAAAATTGATGAATGAGACCACCAAGTATTTTCATGAAATACCATTATACTATGTCCCGAAATGAGAACTACTATGAGGCTATACTTCTGACCATTCAGTATTTAACAGCCGCTAAACTGACTGATTTTAATTTCAACATGTCAAACTGAATTGTTACAAAATAGTTTTATGATTAGATAAGTGAAGTTGCTTATCACTTGGATAAGCAACTTCACTTTGAAGAAAAAAAACAAAAACAAACAAACATTCATTTTGAGAAAACACATCCTGACTTTTATAATAAGTAGTACAATCTCTTATATCATTGAAAATTGTATTTGAATTTAAGGCTTCCATATCAATCTAATTATACATACACTGCGTGCCAAATTATTATCAAGATAACCTTTTTTCTAATATTTCAAAAACCGTCCAATCAATTCACACAAAATTTTCACACAATGTTGGCAACACTGACCTGCGCAATGTAAACAAACTGGCGCCATATTTGTCATCAGCACGGTTATTTGAGCGTGCCAAATTATTATAAAGGTTTAGTAAAATTCCCAGAATTGAGCACACAAAACGTTTATTAATGTTGCACGTGAATGTTTATGATCAAAAG